GGCTGGGGATTCGAACCCGCCACCTTAGGTGTATGTGGCTGGCGTCTTAGCCGCTTGAGCCACAGGCGCCAAGCCAGAGGTGACTCTTAACGTCTCTTGTAGCTCTGATGTCCTGTGATTCCCTGACCCCATTTTCTGATATCCTGTGATTCCCTGACTCTGCTCCCAAGCACTTTTCCTCCCTCATCTTCACGTGATACATTAGGACTAAGATGGGCAGGACTGATGCTTCCAGGCCTACAGAGGGGAAACCCAGGACCTATGTAAGTCAAATAGCACAGTGCATCGAGGCGAAGTGGGAAGTAGCTCCTGGGAGATCTAAAACACCAGATGCCACTCATAGGAGTGTGACATGGGTGCAGAAGGTCCCAAAAGGTAAAGGAACCATCTGTCTGAAAAATTTATCTTCAAGGGTACATGCAGGCCTTTGAGGGAACTGTCCACATGCCAGAGAGTTGTTGATGTCCATCCCCCATTCTTCTAACCCTAAGCCTTGGGGAGCCCTGCTGCCCCTCCCTCCAGCCCTAAGCTGCTGGGGAAGAGGAAGTCCCATCCAGCCATGTGAATCGGGAAGATGTGAGGACAAAGGACAAAGCAAAGCAGGGGGGAGAAGACAGGAGAGGTAACCAGTGAGCCATGCCCGTTCCAGCTAGCAGACCCCAGCCTGGCTCCTGGACAGGAGTACGGGAGAGCCCCTGGAGCATGGTCACTGGACACAGGGGACCTGGGAGGCCCAGCTTCAGCGCCCTCTTCCCGTCCCCAGCACTCTCTCTCTCTCTGTCTGCTTCTTTCTTGCAAGGCTCCTCTTCCCTGCCCTGCTTCTTCACCCCATGCTGCGTTCCATCTGTGTCATTCTGTCATCCTGCCCCAGTCCCCTCTTTTTCTTGGTCTTCCTCTGACCCCCTCTTTTATTTCCTTACATCAGGAGTTTTAGATCTGGGAAGGCACATGTACTAACAGGGAATGGGGTTTCCATCTGTGAAGGAGAGAGGGACCCTTTTCTCGCTCTTTCTCTCTCCCTGGTGACTCCAGGCTCTCATGTCAGTAATTTACCCCAAAGAGATCGGTGCTAGTCATCCCGTCTGCCCGTACCCGTAGACCCATGCTGGAGTTACTTGGCTCTGTGCTCCTGTCCCACCAGCAAGCATCAGTTTTTACTTTTCCTCAGCATTCTCGCTCCTCTGCCCCTGCAACTTTGGGGTCAGCTCCTTTGAATGACTTTCCTATGCCCAGTGCCCCTGCCCCCACCATGGCCAGCTCCTGCATGGTGCCACACACACCCCTCCCCCGTCACCACTGTACCGGCTGCAGTTCTGGCCTTTTATGGTTTAGTTTCTTATTCTCCACAGCCAGTGCTCACAGGGCCATTGGTGTGGCTGTCCGCCAGCTGGCAGGAGCGGCATGTTAAATGCCGTCCTGGGAGGGGAATGGAATGGAGGAGAATGGGGCTTTCTGTCTGCCTCCCCCTCGCAGAGCTAAGAATAGAATTGCTCAATAAAATGAGGGCTGCATTGATGGCTGCAGAAAAGCCGTGTTCATTCAGAGCCTGTGAACTGAGAATTAGTCCAAGGTAAACCTGGATTACGCTGAGATTTACCTGTGTGTCTCCAGGCCAGGGATATCTGTGTGTTCTCTGATCCGGGTTTATTAAATAGATATAAAGTAGTTTACTTGTTAGCAGTAAACTTCTCTTACTGTATAATCCTTAAAGGACAACTTTCTTTTCAGATAATCTGTAACTCTTGTTTTTAAAATAATAATAATAACCAGCCTTTTCCTCAGTTTAAGTGAGTGATGTTTAGCCATTTAGAGAGTTATTATTATATGTTAAAGGGCAGTACAGGAATTTGCATGTTCCTAGCCTCTTCCTGTGTCTGTGAGCCAATCTGTGGCCTGTGGGGAGGGAGGGTGGCTGCTCTGAGCAGATGCAGAGGACAGCGGAACCCGATGGACTCCTGAGTGGTATACCCAGCATGAGAAAAACAAGTCTTTCTACATGTTTTCAAAGGAGAAAAATGAAATAGAGAGAACCCCACATGCCCAATAATCTTTAAATACTGCCTGAGTTTGGAATGTGTATGATTTTTAAGGGCAGAAGATTTCCCTTCATAATGCTAGGCTTAGGCTTAAACAAGACGCACCCTTGATCTCATTCAGCCAGATAGGCCGGGAAGTACCAAGCCCTGCAGTGGGCTCCAGAGACCTTTCAGAATCTCCTTTTGCCTCTGCCACTGATTAGCTGGGTTTCCTGGGTAAGCAAAGTGCCTCAGCCACTGAGGGCTCATTTCCTGGGGGCTGGGATGATCCAGGTAGATGACTACTTTGGGCTCTTCCAGGAGCTGCTGAAGTCTCAGTAAAGGAACATCCAGGCAGGGCTAGATGCAGCCACTGACCATCTTCAAACATGCAAGCACAGATACCTATGGGGAAGCTACTCTGGTTGTAAGCTGGAAGATGGGAGCCTCCTTTTTCCCAGGAATGAGAACATTTGCTGAGCAGAAAATCCCAGAGCTGGCTCCATCAGAGAGCCTCCCATTAGACTTCACTGAGTTTCCCATTCTGTTACTCAAGCCTCCAGGGAGCCCTGGGAGACTTCTGAGGCAGTGTGGAGCTCTGGGCCCTAGACGCCACACCAGCCTCTCTTTTGCCAGATGATGCCCAGGGGCATCCCTCCCAGTCTGAGTGTGCCTGTCTTTGGCATGGAGGAGAGGCTCACGGGAGCATCTGATCTGAGGGGTTTTTAGCCTCTGTCTGGCGCTCTATAGTTGGAAAGAACAGAAAGCATCAGGAGCGACCCGTGGCTCTAAGAGCAAGGGGAGCAGTGGGGACTTCAGATGGGCATTTTCTGGAATCCTCAATTTGGTATCAAACTCCTTGAAAGTGTTTATGTGTCACTCAATTTTTTTTTTTTTTTTGAGACAGAGCCTCAAGCTCTCCCCCTGGGTAGCGTGCCGTGGCATTACAGCTCACAGCAACCTCCAACTCCTGGGCTCAAGCGAGTCTCCTGCCTCCGCCTCCCAAGTAGCTGGGACCACAGGCGCCCGCCACAACGCCCGGCTATTTTTTGGTTGCAACCGTCATTGTTGTTTGGCGGGTCCGGGCTGGGGATTCGAACCCGCCACCTTAGGTGTACGTGGCTGGCGCCTTAGCCGGTTGAGCTATAGGCGCCGAGCCTGTGTCACTCAATATTAAAGTCCTCCTCCCCCAATTTTTTTTTTCTCCTCCCGCAATTTTACATCCCCCTTGTGCTGCAGGACCTACTTATCCCTTACACGTGTCCTGTGTGAGTTCGTTGGTTCAGCCAAGAAACATCTGTGACAGAGTAAGGTACAAATAGTACCCCTTCTGCAATGCCCATTTCTCTGTGTTCTCTTCTTGACCACAGCAGAGGAGAGGAGATTGGCAGGCAGAATGTTCTGCATTCATTGTATAAGCCTATGTGGCTCCAGACGTTCCAGACGTGTCCAATCACAGGTTTTCCAGGCAGCTTCTGTGGGGGAAGCAGTGGGTCTGTCTCGCATCCCTCTTTAGGCTTTTTTACTTCCTGAAGCCGGGTCTTGAGAGGACTTGAACCACTTGTCTCTAAGAGAGTTTAGAGTAATAAACATCTTAGCTAACACCAGAAATGTTTCTAAAAAGACCAATATATCTTTCAGAACAAACAGTTTTTCTAAGAGAACATATTAAACAACCAGTGAAAGTGGTTCCATCACAGGAGGCCTCGGCAGGACTGCTGATGCTAGGAAGTGGCTCAATCACAATCCCAGAGTCATTCCCAGGGGGGGTCTAGGCCTGGGTTGTTGGGGACAGACAGTTTCTAGGCAGTATGTCCTGGGCTGGAATGTGGAAGCAGCCTGGTTAGAGGAGGGGCAAGAATAAGCACACATGTAAATGAATAGGTGCATGCGGGCACACATACAGATGCACAGGGTCATTCGTAGGAATTCTTTTTGACCTTCCTGCCTCGCTGAGGGTGAGATAGCAATAGTCAATGTTTGTTCACTTGATGCTTATAAAAACCCTGAGAGACGTACATAATAGCCCTATTTTCCAAATGAGAAATATAGGCAGACAAACTGGTCTTGCTGACTGGAGTTCACACAGCTTAAAAGCATAGTTTTTTGTTTTGTTTTTCTTTCTTTCCTTTTTTTTTTTTTTTTTTTTGAGACAAAGCCTCAAGCTGTTGCCCTGGGTAGGGTGCTGTGACATCACAGCTCACAGCAACTTCCAATTCCTGGGCTCAAGTGATTCTCCTGCCTTTGCCTCCCAAGTAGCTGGGACCACAGGTGCCCCACTATGTTTTGGTTATAGCTATCATTGTTGTTTGGCGCGCCCAGGCTGGATTCAAACCTGCCAGCTCAGGTGTATGTGGCTGGTGCCTTAGCCACTTGAGCCACAGGCGCCCAGCCTGTTTTATTTTTCTAAGACAGAGTCTCACCTGTCCCGGCAGCTAGAGTGCCGTGGCATCACAGCTCATAGCAACCTCAAACTCTTGGGCTGACGTGATCCTCTTGCCTCAGTCTCCCGAGTAGCTGAGCCAACAGGTGCCCATCACAACACCTGGCTATTTTTAGAGATGGGGTGTTGCTGTTACTCAGGCTAGTTTCCAACTCCTGAACTCAAGCAATCCACCCTCCTCAGCCTCCCAGAGTGCTAGGACTACAGGTGTGACACATCCTGCTCAGCCTTCATTGTGTTTTGGGGTTTTTTTAAATTTATTTTTGGAGACATCGTCTCACTCTGTTTCCCTGGCTTGAGTACAGTGGTGTCATCATAGCTTGTTGCAACCTCAAACTTCTGGGCTCAAGTGATCCTTCTGCCTCAGCCTTCCCAGTAGCTGTGACTACAGGCATATGCCACCACACTGGGTTAATTTTTCTATCTTTAGTAGAGATAGGGTTTGTCTCTTGCTCAGGCTGGGCTTGAACTCCTAAGCTTAAGAGATCCTCCTACTTCAGCTTCCTAGAGCTCTAGGATTATAGACATGAGCCACTGCACCTGGCCAAAGCATGGTTTTAATAGCAAGTTTGTGAGGCTCCATGAACTTAAACTGCATTGGGAGAGATGAGGGGCTGCTAAACACAGATATGTATAACTAACAACCATCTGCAGAAACTAATCTCAAAAATAGAAGAGTTTTGTTCAGATAAGCAACTGAAAAATCAGCAAAATTCAAAAAACTCAGTAAAGAATGGTCCGCTGTGATTTGACTTGAAGTTGACAGGGCTGCTGGTTCTGAGCCCAGGTCAGCTGAATGGGGAGGCAGCCAGCCAAAAGGGCCACTTATATGTGTCCTTAGCTCAGTTTCTGTCCCTTAGTCAGAGATGACTATGATTTCCCATTGTGGTTTTCTTGTGACATTATTTTTTTTTAAATCAGCTGAATTTAAGATTCATTGTGAAATCTTTATCTCAATCTATACCAGTCCTATGAGAGAGAATAAAAGAGGTAAGGTAGGAGTAATTTTTTACATATTATAAAGTTGAAAATAAACTCCTACAATCATGATGACAGTACTGACTAGTCAAACTAGGCACTTTCGAAGAATTTCTCACAGTGACATTGTGATCCAATTGGTATTATCATCCACATTTTACAGGTGAGGAAACTGAGGCACAGAATGATTAACAACTACTGGGGACAGATCTGTGTCCAAACCTGAGTCCATCTGACTTCAGAGCCCAACCACTGTGTGATGCTGCCCCTCAGTGGTCAGGCACTTCCCAAGTCACAAAGAAAGTGGACGGAGACCCCTAGTTATGTCTGCAGGGGTCGCAGGGGTCCTTGAACTATGTCCTGCAGGCCACATGCGGCCTGCCAAGGACATTTATCCGTCCCCCTGGGTGTTTTTGCTGCTGCTGTCTGTCCTGCTTAGCAGCCGACTCATCCTGGGGCCCGCAGTCTGGCTCTCTAACGGTCTGAGGGACAGTGAACTGGCCCCCTGCTTAAAAAGTTTGAGGACCCCTGGTAGGGCCTGAAAGAGACACACACACACATTCTGAACTCTCTCTCAAAACATATTTTTGATGGGAAACAGTCCACGCCTTCTGGGCAGCTTCCTAGATCTGTTTACTCTGAGAAATATGTTTATGACTTGGGGAAAGTACAGGAAATCATGACTTGTAAGCTGGAAAACTAGCCAACTAGCCCCCCAAAGTTTCTTTTTCTAACAAATAGGTATGCGTAAGCTTTCTGCACAGGTGGGTTTGTGTGCAATTCTGTGATGTGTGGATGAGGAAAGAGAGCCAGGACCAAGGACCTTGGCTTGAGTTCTCCAGGCTGCTTCTCCCTTCCAAGACAGCTGACTCACAAATTTTCTCCCTGCAGTTCTGGAAATTTTGGATACTGATGTGCTTCTCTATCCCCAGATAAGCCAGACCCTCCAGCAGGCACACCCTGTGCCTCTGATATTCGGAGCTCCTCACTGACCCTGTCCTGGTATGGCTCCTCATATGATGGGGGCAGCGCCGTGCAGTCCTACAGCGTGGAGATCTGGGACTCAGCTGACAAGACGTGGAGAGAGCTAGCCACGTGCCGCAGCACTTCCTTTAACGTGCAGGACCTACTGCCTGACCATGAGTATAAATTCCGTGTGCGTGCAATCAACGTGTATGGAACCAGTGAGCCGAGCCAGGAGTCTGAACTCACAGCAGTGGGAGAGAAACCGGAAGGTAGGCTGCCTTCACTTCATCACTGGTGTGATTGACCTGTGTGTGTAGACACTGTACTAACAGGGGTTAGAGGAACTGACAAAATGTCAGTGGTGACTGGCAGCGGCTTTGGGGTCTTGATTTCAAAGGTTGTAATATTGGTCCATACTTTTCAAAGTACATACGAAATTTCAGAAAAACAGTGAACCAGCAATTTTAGTGTGCTGCCATCAGGGGGTGATGTGTGTTAAGCAGAAGCTCAGGTAAACCTCAAGTTCCTATGTCCACCCACTGCCCCCTCCTCCTCATGCGTTCGTATTTGAGTGTCTACTCAGTGTCAGATATTTAGGACACAAAGATAAAGTAGTGACTTTAAAACCTAGGGGAAGAGATGTGTGTTCAGCTAACTGTTATAAGATGGGATACACACAAACAAAGTGGTATAGACAAAGAGCAGAGGGGACAGAGCAGAAAGTATGTAGAATTTTGCCATGGAGGCCGAATAAGCATTCCTAGAAGAGATAACACTTGGAGAAAGGGATAGGATTCTAAGGGGCAGGGAAGATAAGGAAAAGGATGCATGTAGAGGAAATAGCATGAGAAAAGGGACAAAGTGATGGAGATTTGTGGCATTTTGAGAAGTTGGTTTGTGGCCAGAGCATATGTTGTGCAAGATGGAACAAGAAAAAGGAAGGTTAAAAGGGCAAAATTGGAAAGTTTATCAAAGATTCTTGGGCAGGGGATTGAGAGGATGAAATCTGTTTTTTAGAAAGAGAACTAGCAGCACTTTGCTATTCAGGGTGAGGCCAGCAGCCTTGGCATCCCAGGACCTTGTTAGAAATGCAGACTCTCAGCCCCCAAGATGCCCAGGTCCTTCCAGACCCTCGCTCTAACATGACCATGCCTTAGGGAGTCATGTGAGTGGATGCTTGACATACACTGGAGTGCACACAAAACAGAGGGGGCTGGAGGGGAGTCACCCAGATTCCAGATGGGCCTCTGTGATGTTGGTCCAGGACGGGGTAGGGTAGTAAGGACATGAAATAAGGCCTCAAGAGGTAGAAATGACCATCTTTTTTTTTTTTTAAGAACTGACCATTCTTGATGACTTTTTCCTTAGAGAGTTAAGGGAGAAATTGGAAGAATCTAATATGACTTCCAGTTCCTGGCTAGGGAAACTGAACACAATTTCGAGAGTTATTTAGAGGTTTATCATTATGATTCATCGTGGCTAACATACATTATGCACTTTGTCTATGGTAGCAACATGTTAATCACTTCATACACATCATTTCATTCAAACCTAGTAACCAGTGCAGTAGATACTGTTATTACCCCCATTTTACAGACAGGGAAATGAGATTTGCAGGAGTGAAGCTACTTGCCCAAGGTTGTGGAACTTGAAAATGGCAAGTTGATACTTGAAGTCAGAGCTGTCTGTCTTGCAGCCTATGCACCTCTGGTTAGACTGAAGAAGGAGTTCGGGCTGCCTTCTAGGTGCCTAACTTGAGTGACTTGGGGTTAGACAGCAGGGACTTTGGGGGTACGGGAGCTCTGGCTTCAAGGGGAAGTATCTGTAGATTGCCAAGTCTAGAGCTCAGAAAAAAGCTTTAACCTATGCTATAGGCTTGAGAGTCTTCACCATTTAATTGCTAATTGAAGCCATGAGCACGGATAAAGTTATGGACACAGTGGCCAAGGAAGCCAGTGGGTCCATGGGACTGGAAGAAAGGACGGAGAGGAGACAGAGGCAGGAGGAAACTGGAGTCTCTCAGAAACAGGGAGGAAGCAAATTGTAAATGGGGCTGAACAAGGATGAGAGAGACCAGGACTCAGAGGGGTCTTTGGATAGGGGCCTTTGGTTAGTTGTAACTTTGACATCAAAGTCTATAGAGTTTCCACAGGGTAGGAAAATGGTTGCTCTGGTTAAGGAATAAATGGAAGAAAGGGAGGACAGTAGCATGGAATATTATTTCAAGAAGTTTCATGTGAAGTTTCACATTTGTTCCCTATGTGAATTTAAGATAGGGGAAATGGTTGGGGGTAAGGAAGAAGGTGGAGGGACAAGCGCTGTTAGAGGACAGAGAGCTGAAAGGTGGGAGGCTAACGAACGCACCAGAGGAGATGGAGAGGGAGTCCGGCCTGAAGTCACCCTGTAACCGGTGTGGAAGCTATTGTTCTGATTTGATGGCCCTCTTTCATTTTGAATATTAGGTATAGAACAGCTATTGAAACTTTACTTTTAATTCAACAAGGACTCCAGAAAGCTAAGAAGATACCAGTGGGAGCCATACCAACTTTATAATTTGACACAAGCGGCGTTGGGCTAGGCGGTGTTTACCCACCTAGCCCTGTGAACACAGTGGGCAGTTCTCCTTGAGAGCTGCACTGCAGCCCCCCAGGCCTGGGCCTTTGGCAGTGTTCGCAGGGGTCCTACCCACTAGCCACTCCAGGCGTCTGTTGGGGGCACTGAGTAGCAAAGCAACCATCTGCTGCCCTCTTTTATCCTCCCCCCAACATCCCTCTAAAGTGAGTAGAGTAGGGAGCAGGTGGGACAGAGTGGAGTGCCTGCATGAGCAACCAAGTTCCAGACTATATTTTTAGGGTATTACTTAGAAAACTGACAAGAAAAAGGGATAACATTGCTGTAAGAAGATGTTCATTGGCTGAAAAGGAAATAGCCCAGCTCTGTGCTGTGCTGTAAACCAGGAAAAACTGCAGAATCCCTGGTTAACCCAGACAGCAGGACCAGAGGCCAGGGGCACTGCGGGATGTGGCTCCCAGGAGACCAGGACAGCCTCACCATGGCTATAAGGAGAGGCCACAGGAGGGGGAGATGGGACCGCTGGGCTAGTGGGCTTTGTTCCCTATGGCCAGCCTCTGGAACACCTTCTGTGGTCCTCAGACCCCTCCTCTGTCATTTCCCCTCCCAGCTGGAAGTAGGAATTGCCTGAGGAGGGGTCCAGGCCACCCAGGGTGACCAGACAGGAGGCTGCTCCCTACCCCAGACCAAGTTGGATCATCCAAGGGGAGAAAGAGGCAGCAGAGAGTTGGCAGGTATCAGGCTCCAGGGAAAAGGACATGGGCAAGGGGAGGACTCAAGCAGAATTAAATGGACTACTCAGTTAAATGGCTCTCAGAGGAGTGAAGTGTGTGTGTGTGACTTTGTGTGGCTTGGCAGAGAGGTGAGACTAAGGGAAGATGGTGATGGTAGGTCTCTTCTGTGGAGCCAGTGGAGTTTGGGGTCATATTAAAGGTTGCGCTGGTGACCTTCACTCCACATGGCCCAGCTAATTGCTTCTGACCCTACTACCACCGCTGCCACTCCCTCCTCCTGCCTTAGTCTCTTCTTCATCCTGGTCTGTCAGACCTGCCCCTCTTTGTGCCCAAGCTCTCACCCCATAAGCACTCGCCCAGTGTGCCCTGTGCCCCTCCTGTGTTCCACGCACTGCCGTGAGCAGGAGACTACAGTGGAGGATAAAGGATGGGGTTCCCTGTGCGGCTCCAGTAGCTTCTCTGTGCCACAGCCACTGCCAAGAAAGACTGGAGTCCCTAAACTGACAGCGCCCCTCCCAGTCTTCCCAAACCCTAGGGGCTGCACCTTGACCCCTCTTCTCCCCAGCCCAGTATGGTGCTCAGCTCCACCCTACTGTGATTCTGCTCTTACTTGAGGCCTTGCTCCTGACCCTCATTTGTTTTTGTCTATATTATTGTTAGCAAATCAGCTGTGACTGAGGCTTCTTGGAAATGGGCCTCCTTGCAGCCTTGGGGGCAATTAGAGAGGCAGAGCCTACACTGCTCCTGACCCAGGCTCCCGCTGTACTGGCCTTGGGGCCATCTCCAGGGCTAGGATGCCCTCTAGTGCCCACAGGGCATGCGACCGTCCTTGGCCAAGGGAAGGGTCATGTCATGTCTCCATCGAGGGGACAGACTGGGCTCATGCCCTCTGAGGGTCCTCGAGCACTCAGTTGGTTCTCTCCAAACACCCGTCCAAGGTAACAAGACTCTCATTTGTTTGCAGAAATATCTTAGAACCAACCATCTTCTGAATAGCCTTCTGCTTAGCTCTTGGAGCTTAGCTCATTCTATAGATGTTTTTAATGTTTAGCTGAAGTCCCTTCTACTGCAATTCTAGCTCTATCCTTACTGGGAAGATGGAAACCAGGATCGCCTTTCTCATTACCGAGCCCTTATGAGCTAACTAAACAGTGTTTTCTCCACCACTTCTCTTTCGGCCTTTCCCTGGTGGCCATTTTGTCCCTCAAACAGAGTGGAGGCTGGGCGAGAAGGGGACATTGCAACCTGAAGTCTTGGTCAGTGTTCCTTCAGAGGAGAGGTTACCATGCAACAGAGCACCAGAAGGAGGGGGCTGGAGCTCCCTGGAGATAATCTGGTCCCTGACCAGAGATGTCGCTCTGACTGCAGGGAGAGAGGCGGAGGCAAGGGGCAGGTGTGGGCTAGCTGTGCACTGTGTCCCTGGACTCAAAGTGGCAGAGAGGGTCCAGGTCTAGAACTGGGGGCTTGTTCAAGGCTCACAAGGGAAGCCCCCTGGTTCTGGGTTGTTGGAAAGGCCTCCTGGCTTCCAGCACTGTGCCACGCCTCCATTGGCAGACATGGCATTCCTCCTGACAGCGAGCAAGAAAGCCTGCCTCCTCTTCCCTCTCACCTGCCACACTGACCACTCTGGACCTTAGGCCACACTGGGGAAATGTGGCACAGGAACAAAATAAAGGAAGCCTCAGCAAGTAGGAGCCACTGTGTCCAACGGGGCACCACAGGTCCAGCCAGGGCCTCCCTGACAGTATTATTTTGTCTCGAAGACTAGGTCCCAGGACTGGCACCCACCAGGTTTTCCATTACTGATGGACTTGACTCTGGTTCCCTTGAAACCCTATTTAAAATATCATCGTTGCACTAATCTAAACATCTGTTGAACCTGAGTTCCCAGTGCCCGCAGCCTTCCTTCCATGTGAGGCAGGACCCTACATAGTCCCCGGAACAGTGTTCATGAGTGGATGAAAGTCTTTCACCCTAACCTACCCTTGGCAATTCTGTGATTCCTTTTAATTCATGCCCACTTTAGAGTTCTTTCCCAACTAGAGATGCCTGCCCTTTCCTGATTGTCTTAACATGGCAGCCCTCCCCTTCAGCAGCGCCCCAGACCTGCCGCAGCTTCACTGAGGCTTCTGACCACCAGCAGCCAGAGACCCAGAGCAGATGCCCCAGGCCCTGTCAAGGGCTGCTGAGTGGTGGCATCTGCTGGTGGCTGCTGGTGCATGTTTCCCCAGGATGACATCTGGTGGGCCAGCGCAGCGGGTTCAAGATCTGTGCTCCCTCTCTGGGGTTTTGAGTACACACCTTAGTGCTCATCACCCTAAAAGGCAAAATGATTAAGTTCCCTCTGATTCTGTCCCTGGCTTACAGGGGTACTGGTCTTGGGTCATCCTCATTGTCTATGAAGTGGACAGTGACACTCTTAACTCCCAAATATGTGGATTTAGAAAAATCAATCAGTTAGGCAGTAGCTGTGAAGCCTACCACCCTGTCAGCTAGCGTCTCTCTGAGAGGCCTGTTTGTCTCACCCTTTCGTATTTTTCCATGGCAGTTCCCTTTCTGTCTTAAAATATTCTGCCCTGTCCCGCTCATGTTTAGTTTTTTGAAACTAAACTTTGTCAGAAGCATTTTAAGAACTCTAAACAAATCACAGCTTCTCCTGCTCCTGGCCACATGCTTATAAACTCTCTTAAGACTCTTTTGCAGTAAGAGGTACTTATCCTGCTGGAAACCATGTTACTTTTCCTCAGCTTGTCTGCTTAGGGACCAGCCATTCTGCCCTCAGCTGACCAGAGAGCCCCACTGTCTACACTTCCAACTGCACCTTCTTGGGGTCCACACCTCCGTCACAGGTGCTGAACTTGCAAAGCACCGCAGAGCTCAGCTCGCACTCAGCCCCTCCCTCTGGGCAGTGTCCCACCAGCTCTCTGCCCCGTCCCCTCTGGCTCTAGGAGGATGGCCGTCCACCTGCTGCCCTCCTTTCCCTGGCCTGCTCTCTGGGCCTTTGCCAGATCATGTAGGTCCCTCAAGTCTGATGCACTTTCACACTCACAGACGCATTATCACATACTCTCACACATTCTCACACACACACATACACACTATCCCACTCGCTCCACACTATCCCACACTCACACACACTCCCATTATCCCACACTATCCCACACACTCACCCACTATTTCCACACTCACTGTCACACTCTCCCGCACCTGCACTAATACTCTTACACACATTCACATGCCCACACTCACACACATACTCATACTTTGAAAATCCTTTCCTCCATGGTTCCCCTCCCATCCTTGATCACGTTCCTCAGGAAACCTCCCACATCCATCTGTCAGCCAGAACGCAGCCCAAGCTGTGGCTGGGGAGCACAGAGCAGATCGGAAAGCCAGGACTCTAGAAACGGTCTCCTTTCTCATACAGATGAGGAAACTGAGGCCCAGAAAGGGAAAGGCACTTAGCCAAGGTCAAGCAGCCACAGAGATCTTTTGTTGAAGGACAAACATACACCAAGGCGAAGGGAAGTCTGGAACTCTGAAGTGGCTTGTGCTGCTGCGCACACCACCTGTCCCGTGTCCCCTCACTCACTCCCAACACATCCACACGAGCAGCTAGCGTGGCTGCCATGTCCCTCCTCACCTGCCTCATGAACACCTATCGGTCTCACCTGTGCCATGTCACTCACCCCTCCTTGGATGCCATGGTTTCTTTTAAGGCACGACCCAAGAGCTATTTCTTCCGAGAATAATTTCCCCTTCTGTGTCACCTTTCTTGGTTGTACTGTGGTGATACTGTAAGTTATACTGTGGTTGTACCGTGGTGATACTTTCTTCAGTTTGTACCGTGGTGACACTGCTTGATTAGGTGAGGCTTGGTAACTGATATTTGGAGTATATGTTTTTGCCTGTCCAACTGAGTTATAAGCTTCAAGACAGGAGAGGTTGTGCTTTCTGTGCATTTTGTCTCAAATGGGCGCAATAACTAGCAATATACCCAGTACACTGCTGGAATGTTCAGCAAATGGATGAATGGATTTGACATGAGAAGCACTTGTCAGTTGCTGGCTTTCAAGCCAGGGAAGAAGGGGACACACAGTTGTGTGTAGGTTCCTTAAGTCAAGAGGAGGGGCTGTGGGGAAGAGTATGTCTGGAGACCTTCAGGTTGAAGAGGAAGGAGTGCAGGTGAGACCTGGTAGAGGACAGGGGCTGCGTGGGGACAGGGCTGGCACCTGCCAGTCTGTGCCTGGCCTTGTTGAGGGGCTGCCCAGAGCTCTAGGCCTGGTGGTTCTGTGGCTGGGAAGGCTCTCAGCACTGCCCACTCTTGGTGGGCCCTGAGCACTAATCACCTGTGCCCTCTCTGTCCTTCCTTGTCTCCCCCTAGAGCCAAAGGATGAAGTGGAGGTGTCAGATGATGGTGAGTGCTGGTCACCTGTCCTTGGGCCAGGCTTGCAGGGCAGGGGGTGCTGACCAGGGGTGTTGATGGCTCACCCTCACCCCCACCTGTGCCCCACAGATGAGAAGGAGCCAGAGGTTGATTACCGGACAGTGACAGTCAATACCGAACAGAAAGTATCTGACTTCTATGATATTGAAGAGCGACTAGGATCGTAAGTGGAATGGGAAGCTGCCTTTGGGCCCCCGGGGTGAGATTGGCGTAGGTCCCACAGTTCAATACAGAGCCCGGTCTTCCTGTCTTCTCCTGGGCCCTGCCTCCTCCCAACTGAGAGTGGGGTGTCAGGAGAGAATGCTCATGGGGGAATCGCTCACCCCAGCTCTCTGTGGAGTTGCTTGCGAGCTTCTGCACTGGCCCAGTTGCAAAAGCCATGGGCAAGACCTGCTTTCTCTGGGCTTCAACTCACAGCACAGAAGACTAGATCTGGGTGGGATTCTCTTTGGGGTCCCTTCCATTTGGCCCACAGAGGTCAGTCAAGCCTGATCAGCACCCATGTTCAGCAGCACCAGCCCGGCTTGAGCATGCCATTAAAATGCACAGTGGTCCTCACAGCACCCTTCACACTGTTTACTCTGGCTCTGCCTGGGATGTGTAAGACGCTGCTGGACTCAGACCCCAACCTGACCCCTCCCTGGAGGAATACAAGAAGGGGAAGAAAAAGGAATGGGACTTGGCTTGTGTCTCCAGTGGTTTCTGGGAAGTGAAGGGGTGATGCAGACCTCACAACAGCTCTGCAGAGGAGTCAGCCCCACCACAGAGGAACCCCATGCTCTGCTCTCCCAGTAGTGGGAAACCAGATCCCGCCTGGGCTGTCTCCAGAGATCAGTGCTAGGGAGCTGGGGGGAGGGGGTCAGGGAGTCAGTCCCTCAGTGATTCTCTGCATTCGGGAAGAGTCACCTCAACCCAACTCTGTGGTCCCTCTGTAGGCAGGGGAAGAGAGATGTCCCTCCATCAGCCTAGGTTGAGAGTAGGTTTGTCGGCATTAGCAATAAGCTTTGGCTGGGTTCCATGGCTCATGCCTATAATCCCAGCACTCTGGGTGGCAAAGGAGGGTGGATTGCTTGAGCTCAGGAGTTTGGGACCAGCCTGAGCAAGAGCGAGACCCCCATCTCTAATAAAACTAGCTGGGCATTGTGGCCGGCACCTTTAGTCCCAGCTACTTGGGAGCTGAGGCAAGAGTATCACTTGAGCCTAAGAGTTTGAGGATGCTGTGAGCTATGATTCCATAGCACTCTACTGGCGGTGACAAAAGTGAGACTCTGTTTTTTAAAAAAAAAGTACTAGTTCCAACTGAGTGTGGAAAATGACTTTTAAAATTTTTAAAAGGAGAAAAGAAAAGAAAAAAGAAATGTGCTTCATGCAGGGATATTCAGCCTTTTGTCTTCTCTGCTACGCACTGGAAGAAGAGTTGTCTTCTTAAATATGCAAACACTGACCAAAGCTGATGAGCACAAAAAAGGTCTGGGCATAATTTCAGGGTACCAGACACCACAGATAAGCAAAATAGTCCTCACCTAACCTGCATGTGGCCCATGGGCTGCAGGATGGACACCCTGGAGAAGTCAGCAGGCTTTTACCATGAAGGCTCAGTAGCTGGTATTTTAGATTTTGTGAGTCATATGCTGTGTCACAACTACTCAGCTGTGCCACTGCAGCACAACCATGGACAGTATATAAGCAGACAGGTGTGGCTTTGTTCCAATAAAACCTTCCTTATAAAAAGAGCAGGGCCAGATTTGTCCCACTGGCCATAATATGCCAACCCTAATTTAGTAGAAAGCTCAGCTAAATTTGGCTTTTCTCTCCTCCCCCTTTCGTTTGCAGTGGGAAATTTGGACAGGTCTTTCGACTTGTGGAAAAGAAAACTAGAAAAATCTGGGCAGGGAAATTCTTCAAGGCATATTCAGCAAAAGAGAAAGAGAATATCCGGCAGGAGATCAGCATCATGAACTGCCTCCACCACCCCAAGCTAGTCCAGTGCGTGGACGCCTTTGAAGAAAAGGCCAACATCGTCATGGTCCTGGAGATGTGAGTGGCCTGCCACCAGTCCCCCAATGTGTCTCCTCCAGTGTCCCACCCAGCCACCTCTGCCCAAGATGGAAACCTCTGCGACAAGGGTGTGATGTGCAAGGTACCCACCAGCCTATGGCAGGGCTGACCAGTCAAACTGGGAGGTCTGTGTGCAGTGCTGGTCCTGAGCCCTCAGCCCTGAGCCCCAGCTGGCGGCGCTCTGCTCCCTTCCATAACAACCCAGCAGACTGCGAGGATCCCAAGACCCTTTTCACTCTCATCTCCCCATGAAAGAGCCAAGCTACCCCTAAGCTCTTTGTTTCAGTAGGGGTACTCTGACCTATAGGCAGTTTACAGTGGAAGGGGCAGAACAGGGCAGCTTCCTGACCTCCCTAGGAAAGACAGGGGGCCAGGGCTGGGGGCTGCAATCCAGGAGCAGAACCCTCGCTCTGGGCCTGTTGCTGTACCTCTGTAGGCTCTGTTCTGCTCTTGTTTGTGCTGTTTTTACTTCTCACTCAGAGGGAGTAGCTCTTTCTCTGCTGGGTTGTACCAAGGCAGGGGGATGGATCAGATGACCTCCAGCCAAGGCTTTCTCAGAATCTGTCATTTCCTCCACTGGCCTTGCACCTGTAGACACACACACAAAACGCCAACACAAATGCACATGTTCAGACACACATTCTGGCATCAGTAAGCCAGGTGTTCTCTACTGCCCCTGAGTATTTTAAGAGTTTTCTTTTTTTAATCTGAATTTTTTTGACTATATGACACAATCAACTCAAAAAAATAGAAGAAGGTACACAGGGAAAAGTCCCTACCACCGCCACAGGTGAACAATTTTATTGGTATTGTCTGTGTCCTTCCAAAGATTCTGTGCAAAGATATATAGATTAGACATATATACATGTATGTTCTTATTTTCCTACCTTTTAACACAAAAGGAAACTTATTGTACTCACAATTCTATACTTAGCTTTTTTCAACAAATTGATGTGGGAGATGGTTCCATATTGACACCTAGTGAGAGTGCCACCTCGTTCTCACAGCTCTGTGAGGTTTGGTTCTGTGGACATACCACCATTTAAGCAGTCTTCTTTTGGTAAGAAGTTGGGTGATTCCTAGTCGTTTGCTTTTACAAACAAGCATTATTTGAAGTAATAGTCTTTGCACTTATGCCCATGTTTATCTGTGTGATAAATTTCCAGAAGTGAAGGAGTGATCGATTGAAAGGGTGTGGACACGTGAAGTATTTAGAGATACTGTAGAGATCCTGTGAAGTTGCCTTGAGCATCCTCAAATTGCTCGTATTGAACTTGGGGCTCTCGGTCCTGTGGAGGAGACTGTCAGCATCTTGACATTCTTTCCCGGGACAGTGAGGCCAGGAAGACATCCCCAAGCTTTAACTGGGAATGGGATATTAGTTAGTCTTTTCCCTCCCCTCCTTCCATTAGCATTTCGGCAAACAGGTATTCCCTTTCCGTCTGTGTTCTTTGGAAAATGTGCTCGTGGTTGAGAGCACAGACCTGAGTCAGGTAATTACCTTACTTCACATCCCAACTCTGCCTCTTACTTGTTGTTTGACTTGAATAGGTTTCTCAGTTGTAGTGATCCTTAGTTTGATCATCTATAAAAGAGGATGCTACAACCACCTCGTGAATGCTGTGAGGATTCAGTGGGATAATCATGTAAGGCACGGCACTCCATAATGGAGCTATTATGTTTTTTTTTTTATTTGATTTGATTTTTTGAGACAGTCTCTCACTATTGCCCTGGGTAGAATACCATGGCATTATAGCTCACAGCAACCACAAACTCTTGGGCTCAAGTGGTCCTCTTGTCTCAGCCTCCCGAATAGCTGGGACTACAGGCATGCACCACAACAGCTGGCTAATGTTTCTATTTTTAGTAGAGACGGGACCTCGCTCTTGCCTGAGCTAGTCTCAAACCCCTGAGCCCAAGCAATCCACCTGCCTTGGCCTTCCAGAGTACTGGGATTACAGGTGTGAGCCACCAAGCCCAGCCCATGGGAGCTATTAGTAGTAGAAGGCATTGACGTTTTCTGTATCCTGGTCTTTTTTCCGCTTAAAAGTACTTTTTGAGCATTTAATGTCTAACTAGGTATTGTGGAAAAATTCCTCCCTAGTATTCAGGAAGCCTGGCTTCAATTTCTGCTACTATAGAGTTGTGAATTTGTAATTGTTAAATCCTACCAGTGAAAAGGTATTGGATTAGAATAATCGATTTTAAGATCCCTCCCCCCCTTTAGACTATGGAATTCTCCAATTCTGTGGAACCCTGAAGGACTTAGAGAAAATCTCCATTTGTATCTTATAATCTATTTTCAGCCCCTAAATCCAGCTTTCCTCCCCACTTCCTGGAAATATTTAGCCCGTGGCCTGGCCTCATTCATTACACTCTCATAATAGCCCTGTGGGCTGCATCTTTTCCATTTATTCTAGAACAGGTTTCTTAGTCCAGGCAGTGTGGGCATGTGAGGACACGTGAAGAAATGTCTTATCTTTAGAAGTTAGACCTTGAGCGAGATCGTGGGGAGGGCAGGGAGGGGCGAGGAGGTAACAGGGCTTGGGGAAGGCTGGGCAGCAGCTCCAGTGGGCAGAATACCATACTTAGCTTGGAATGGGGAGTTGGCAAGCTGGATGGAAAAAGAGAGAAAACTTAAGACGGCTTCAGCTGGTCTGGCTTTTATCCTCTCCCCCACACCTTCCCCACGGACAGCAGCAGGTCTTACATGCACAGATGCCAGAGATGTGCCTGTGGTCGGGGGAAGAAGTTTGTCCCTTGATAGGAACTCAACCAAAGAAGAAAGGAGCAGGCTGATCTTCTATTTGTGTACCCCTTCCAGCTTAGCCATTCCAAGACTTGACCACTGACAGGGGAAAGGTTGATTTTCAGCTTTTGTTCATCCCTTTGTTTGATGGGGAAACTGAGATTAAGAGAAGGATGATGCTTGTTGATGCAGAAAAATGAAAATGTATTCCAGGGTCCCAGTGTTAGGTCAAATATAGTGAGAAATAAGAATCAGTGTCTTCGGCCCTTTTGACTTCTGATTATTGGCAAGCCCTCCCTGTATAGCAGTTGTATACTCCCTGTATACTCTGAGACAAGGGTTCCTTCAGGCCTCTGGCCTGGACCCTGGGCTTGTCATTTTAGAAGTGCTTGGGACATTCCAAGGGGCAGTGGGGTCCTGAGCACTGAGTAGGAGCTGAAATTTAGACTGAGCCGTCTGTGCCTCATCTCACCTTTGTGCTAGCAAAATGTATCAGAGACCATCCAGCGGGTTGCCATGAGACAAAGAGAGGGTCTGGGTATCAAGTCCACCCATAGCACCGCTACCCTGGCTGTGTATGAAGGCTGGCTAACATCTAGAGTTGGGAGGATACATTTGATCCTTTGGGATTAGGTAGTTTTGGAGATAGATATTTATTTATTCATTTCACTCACTCACTATTCATTTCTTAAGTACACATTTCCTCTGGCCCAATTGTAGCTTTTGACATCCCATCTCTGAGGGCGGCAACTTCTTTCTATCAAACCAATACTTTCCACCTATAGCTTTGAGAATTTTGAAAAGAAATCTATAGAATCATTAATTCTATTTGTTTAACCCCTTCCATTCTAGAAAGTAGACCATAAGAGCAATTGTCAAGATATATTTTATGTTTGAAGAGGATTGAACCTATTTGAATTTATATTGAATAAGTATTGTTAACACTTCTAAAAATGCATCAGTAATTATTGCCATGGCTCAGATTTCTACCACTCATTGCCTCAGATGTTCCCAGGGGTGTTGAAAATAATGGTTGCTTGCCTTTTCAGAATATTTTAAATATAAAAGAAAACATTTGGGTGCACCTTGTCTGAGCCATATCTTGTCAGTTGCAAGTAAGGGTCTAGAGATGAGCCAGACTTCTTATAGACATGTTTACAAACAATTTTACTCTAAGGCTGACTGGATTAAAAAAGAAAAAGAGCAGAGAAACAAGGTTGTGGATGCCCAGGGCGGGAAAGATCATTTCATGGGGAAACGGACAGATTTTTTCAGAAGATATGAATTTCAACTGGCTTCCCAGGAAAGATAGTTGAGAAAGCCAGTATTTCTCATTCTCACAGTCTAGTCTGGTCATAAGAATGACCTGGGGTACTTATTAAAACTATGGATCCTTAGATCTCTCCCAAGATTTTCTAAATCTCAGTCTCCAGAGGAAGAGTTTAAGAATCTGTATTTTTAACAAGAGTCCCAAGTGATTCTTCGAAATAAAAAAATTGATAGTTAACATCGAGCTATGTGCCATCGAACTCCTAAACATGTTACCTGTACTAACATGAATATTAACAGTATTCATCAGCAGTATTAACAGTATTCATCATTTGCAGCAACCTTGTGAGGTGGTGCTATATTTATCTGCATCTTACAGATGAGGAAATTGAAACAGCGATGTTAAGAGTTGGGTTAGCTTGGAGCCTTGGTGGAGAGCTCTGGAAATGGAGGACACAAGGACAAGAGCGCCACCTGCTGGCTGTGCAGGGACCTTCTCGGGTTGGTTAAAGGCAGCTGTTCAGCTCCCCTCAGTGGCCCCAGCACAGACTGACTTACCCAGCTCTGAAGTGTGTCCTGTGGCAGACACACTGTGGCAAGCTGGGCCTCACAATGCATCTCTCTCCCATTCCCTCTCTCTCTCCTGCAGGGGTTAGAGATGAGATCCATTTGGTCCACCACAAGTTGTCAAATAATGATTAATCTGTACTGAGCACCTAGTGTATGTTAAGGCATGATACTTTCCAAAGGATTCTACATTCCAGCTCTATGAGGTAGGGTCAGATAAGGAAATGGGCTCAGAAAGGTTAACCAACTTACCCGAGGTCACACAGCTTGCAAAAGGCAGAAACAGGATTCAAACTTAGCTTCTTCCCTCTTCACAATGGCTCCACTGAAGAGAGGGTACACCCTTATACAAGGACAGGCTAAGAACCAAGCCCACCCAGCCTTCTTCAACTGGTAGACCCACTGGCTGCTGTAGAAAGGTGAGCTTACTGATATAATATCTGGGTACTGCATAAGTGACCAAGGATATGCTTTAAATTTGCTGAGCAGTGAGCAAGGGAGGAAGGTTAAAGGACTGGGACAACTAAAGCAGTGGGGCCTCGTTCTCACTGAAGGGCAGGCCGGCAGAGGCCCTGGAGCCATTTTTGGCTGAGGACCAAGCAGCTGTGGCTCCAGAAGCATGGAGTTGATTGGACATGGAAGGATCTAGTGTCTACCCAGGTAGAAAGGACTACATTCCAGCCTGGGCGAGGAAGTGGCCCAGGGGAGACACACTGGTTATGGCCAAAGGGAGTAATGATGCTGTAGGCCTAGCTGGAGTAGGCAAATCTACCACAGATGTGGGTCCGATGGGTTACAACCAACCAATTGTAGGACATCTGCTGAGGCTCCTTATTGTTGGAGATCTTTTTCTGTCTCTGCCTATGCAAAATAAATGCTCGTGGTAACTGTGTTTTAAACTTTAGTTCCCTGTGACTAAACAATACAGCTAAAGTACAAGAATGTTCCCTTATGCATCTGTGATCATTTGAGAGGAAGAGACTGCCCAGTGGTCCCTCTTTTTGCGAAGGAGGTTATGTCTGGGTGTCTTCATTCACACCCTCCTCTGAAACAGCCTGGCCTAGATGCTGACCTCAATGTCCCAACAGCTTAGCGAGCACAGGGCAGGGCTTCCCAAGCAGGAGTCCAGGAGGCCCTGGCCCTCCTCCAGGGACCGAAGATGGCCTTGGACCCTACTCTGGTGATGAAAGATGGAGTTCAGGAAACTGTGCAGAATGTGCCTATCACCCCTGTACCCTGGGTCTTCCTGCCAGTCTGTTCCCCCAGCCTCCCTTTGGGCACACTCCCTGCCCCCCCCCGGCCCACACAGTGCTGTGATCTGACCCCTCTGCTATCCCCACTCCCTGTCCCCACAGCGTGTCTGGGGGTGAGCTGTTTGAGCGCATCATTGATGAGGACTTCGAGCTGACGGAGCGCGAGTGCATCAAGTACATGCGGCAGATCTCAGAGGGCGTGGAGTACATCCACCGGCAGGGCATCGTGCACCTGGACCTCAAGCCCGAGAACATCATGTGTGTCAACAAGACAGGCACCAGGATCAAGCTCATTGACTTCGGTTTGGCCAGAAGGCTAGGTAAGGCCAGTCCCTCCACCTGCTGTCCCCACCGTATAGTGGCAGGGGCTGTTCACATTCCACACATGGCAGGTAGAGGAAGTGGACAGTGTAGGGGTTAAACCCGAGACCTTGAAGACTGCTTAGGTTCCAGTCCTGCCCCGACCACTTACTGCTGTGTGCGTGGAAGCCTCAGCCTCCTTACCTGTGAAGGGTTTAATACTAGTGTCTGCCTCATAGAGTTGTTAGAGGGATCAGATGTGTTACTGCAGGTAAAGTGGTAGGAACAGTGCATGACAGTGATGACAATGATTATCTACTCTTCTGTTTTTCACTCTGGTGCCAGGAGTGGCAAAACTTATGTAGGTCACGGTGGTTTCTCTCATCTTTATCAAACCATACAGTTTACAGAGCACTTTCAAATTAAAAAAAAAAAAAAGATTCTCACTGTGAGGCAGGCATGGCAGATGTTATAAGCCCCAACTTAGAGACTAGGATGCCAGTGTTCACAATAGGTTTGCCCAGGAAGTCCCAGCTTAATCCAGGGGAAGTGCAAGGGTTGGAGTAGGGAACCCTGGGCCGAGTCCAGGGAGCTCTGCTGCTCCCACACTGGGCAGAGGAAGAGAATGGAGAAGTGGAAAGGCCTTCAAACTCCGCCCTGAAAGCACTTTGGTCAGCAAATGCCTGCCTCACATTTCACCTGCATCCACTCTGCTTCTGTACCTCTTTGATGTCTCAGTAATTGAGAAAACAGCTTCACCTCCCGACTCGGCCACTGGCCTATTAGCAACAAGCCCCAGGGCTAGGGTAGGCTGGCCTTTATTTCACTACTGGAGGGGGAGTAGGAAGGAGCTGGCCACACTAATGCCACCCAGGACACCCAGTTCTGGTTGAGGCTGTGTTTCTCATAAAAAGGAAAGAGGGGTCAGATAGGTCACGATTGGCTTGGTGGTCAGTGCAGCCAGGCAACTATCATGCCCCAATGCCAGGTGACTGCACCGGTCCTGCTCTCTCCTACAGGGGCAGAGTGGGGGCTGCCCCCGCCCCCAGCAGGGCCTGCTTTTGAACAATAACCACTAACATTAAACGGATAGGGAGGCCACTGGCCTCAGGAGCTGGCAGCATCAGAGAGCAAGGAACACAACATTCAAGTTCTCTGTTGCAGGGATATTGTGAAGACAGTGGTCTCCACCAAGGAATGATAAGAAAACTCAGAAGTGGTTCAAATGTAGCCGGAAGGGCCTCGGAGCAGGAGTTGGGGGCAAACCTTCCCTATCATAAGGACTGGTAATGACTTTGTTGTAGAACACTTTTCACAGGCCCTGCAAAGTTAAGAGTAGAGGAAGCCCATAGGCCGCAGGCTGGCCACCCCCACTGCTGACTGTCTCCTCCTACAGCTGGTACCTACAGCAGGTACTAATGGGCAACTCTGATCTTTTATGGCTAAGAGGTGCTGCCTTGGAGTTAGGGTCTCTCTCACCTGCCCTCCCAGCAGCTTCCAGAGGACAGGACCACCATGGAGCTGTGTTGAGGCAGTGGGTGAGCTGGGGAAAGCATGGCTTGGGAGTCACATGGGTTGAGTCTGACCGCCACTTATTGAGTGGAGGAATCACTTCCCTGGCCTCAGTCTCATCGCTGGTAATACAGGTATCACCCCTTAGGATTGGTGAGACTATTAAATGGGAAAATCCTTGTAAAGCTGATAGCAGGGAACATAAGACATAGTGAATGTTAGAGATTATTATTAAGCATAAGTCAGAAGGATCACATGGCAGGTGCTTTACTGGCCTCTTCTCTCCCTGGTTGCCCCACCCGTGGGAGATAAATGTGCCATGTATTGATGTCCTTGCTTTACAAGGAGGCCAAATGTCTCTGTGCCATCCCAAGGACAGAGCACCCAGGGCTAGGTTAGGGCCAACCCACAGAGGAGGGCAGTCCCTTACCCTGTGATATGCTGGGGATTGATCCCTCTCTATCCTGGTTTCAGAGAACGCTGGGTCTCTCAAGGTCCTCTTCGGCACCCCAGAGTTTGTGGCTCCCGAAGTGATCAACTATGAGCCAATCAGCTACGCCACAGACATGTGGAGCATCGGAGTCATCTGCTATATCCTGTGAGTGCCCAGCACATGGGCTGGGGCAGGGTCTCGTGGAAGGTGCCCAGGCTATCCCGACGCTATGCGGAAGTGGCCAGGGTGGGTCATGGTGGGGATCCCACCCCGGAGTCAGGAGGCTGTGGGCTCCAGACAGGTCAGTAGCCTGAATCACATTCTGTAGCATTACATAGCTCCACACACAAGGTCCCCACCTTGGGCCCCTCACTATCCCCAAGGCTACCCAGCCTGGGGCCCTCGGCCAGGAGGGTGGGAATGCGGCTGTATGTGTGTCCTCACTTGTGTAGGTGGCTCTAAGAGGAGAGAGGGAGCCAGGTGCATATCTCGGGGTATCCTCCTTGTCTTCAGAGGACAGCACCCCACCCTCAGGGGAGGGGGACCCCAAAGGCCTGCCTCATCTCTGAGTCCAGTATAAGGACTTTTGAGAACAGAGCCTTCAGTGGGACCAACCGATTGGCACAGTAATTAGAATTGGGAAATCAGGTGGAAAATATGAAGACATTTCAATTAACAGTGCTGCAGGAAGAGAGGGGTGGCCAGCAACCTAGGTCACTTGTGTGCGTGGACCATCTAGGGGGGCATTGCCTTAAATTGCAGGTTTGGATTCAGGTCTGGGGGACCTGAGATTCCACGTTTCTAACAGGCTTCATGTTGCCAACGGTGCTGCTCTAAGGACCACACTGGGATTAGCACGGCCCTTAGAACACACTCTTGGTGGGTGAGGTCTTGCTGACTTTGTCCCTGAGGCCTCAGAAAGGCCCTGAACTTGTGTGGCAATGTGCAGTCACAGGATGGTCTTGCTGAAGATGAGATATGTGTTTATTTAGTAAGAAGTATTTTTGTTGTCAAAACAAAAGAAAAAATATATTGTTACAGAAAACTTGAAGAGGACTTCTAAAGGATACTTTCTTGGAAGTATCTCAGACCCAAGTTTGAGAAAAGGCTGTAGATCAGCGGTTCTCAACCTGTGAGTTGCAACCCACACAAACTGTATTAAAGGTTCACAGCATTAGGAAGGTTGAGAACCACTGTAGGTGGTTCTGATGCATAGTTGGGTTTAGGAGCCAGTGCTACAAAAGCTTCAGTAGAAGTGGGGTGACTTTTGTGCAATATGGCTTTCTTACATGCTCAGGAGTTTTACTCTGATGGTGGCCTGTTAGGACAGCCCACCTCAGTGGAACCTGTGACACAGTTCTGTACCCTAAACAGTCATCTCCCCTGCCTGGGATCAGCACCAGATCCCAGGTCAGTGAAGAAAGCATGGGCTGAGCATACATTTCCCTGCCTCTCCTCTCCCCACGCCTACCCACTCCTGAGAACAACAGGGCTGATGAATAAACAACCAAGCCAGGTGCTTTACCCCTGCTCCTCTGGTGAGTAAGAAACAGCAGGGTGGGGGCTCAGCCTGCCCCTCCTGGGGTTGTCTGAGGCCTGGACGGTGCTCACACTGATCTCTGACCCTGGAGAAGCAGTCCTCAGCTAGGTTACTCGGTGTAGACCCAGCTGCCTTATGGCCCACCTGGTCCAGGGGACCCTCTCCAGCCATCAGAGAGCCTTGCCTTGCTGTTTGCCCTTCAGTTTTCCCACCACTGTGACACAGGGTTGACCTGCAGCCAGTCTTTCCATATAGGATCTTTTTTTTTGAGACAGAGTCTCACTTGTCACCCTGGGTAGAGTGCCATGGTATCATAGCTCACAGCATCACAGCAACCTCAAACTCTTGGGCTCAAGCGATCCTCTTGCCTCAGTTTTTCATTTTTAGTAGAGATGGGGTCTCGCTCTTGCTCAGGCTGGTCTCATGAGCTCCAGCGATCCTCCTGCCTCTACCTTCCAGAGTGCTAGGATTACAGGCATGAGCCACCGTGCCCAGCCACTCCACATAGCATCTTCACTGGTGGGCTGTGGCCAGGACTCAATCCTCCTTTGCCACTGAAGTGACTGGGACCAAGGAAGCCCACGTAGCGGCCCACTTCCCACAGGCTGGGGAGGGTAACCAGCCGTCCCAGTTTACCAGAGTATAGGACTGTAAATGCTAAAATGGAGACAGTCCCAGGCAAACCAGGACAGTTGGTATCTCTGCTGGTCAGTGACAGAGCAGTGGCTAGACTGCTCAGTAAATTTTCACAGTGAACATACCTGTGTCACCTATATCCAGATCAAGAAACCAAACACCTCCAGGGCCCTGCAACCCTCTGGTGCCGCCCGCAGAGGTAACTCTGTCCTGTGTCTAATGTCATGGCTTAGCTCTGCCTGTTCTTGAACTTTATATAAATGAAATCATACAGAGAGAAGTGGCTGGCTTTTTTGTTTGGCACCATCTGTGAGATTCACTCAGTGACTCGGTGTTGATGTGTTGCTGTAGAGTGTTTGTTCTCAGAGCTATGTGGTATTCCATTGTGTGAACATAATCCAGTTAACTTATCCATTCTACTTGGATGGACAGTTACTCAACTACAAACTACATGGAGTATTATAGCATCTTAGATTATCACAAGCATTCTGGAGTGTGTTTCAGTGAACACACTTATACACTTGTTCTGCTGGTTGGCCTTATAATCTAGAATTATAATTACTACATCGTAAGAGTACTTTATTGTAAAAGGAAAGTTCTTCTAGGTGGAGAACCAAACTCAGTAATTCACTATACTACCTTGTTTGCTTACTTTTAGATTACTCTTTTTATCTTCTTTTTGTCTTTTTTTAATTATAATGGAATATATTGAGCGTTGAACTTTTAGATTACTTTTAAAGCTAAGACCAGAGTTTTCGGAATGGAGTAATCATTTTGATGCTGAAGGTGTTTGGACAGGGAGTTCTGTGGGGGAGTGTACAGGCCAGGAGGACAGAGACCAGCTCAGCCTGGGTCAGCCCTGCACACCTCTTGGGTCTTGGACAAACCCCCTCCCATCCCCCAACCCCGCCCATGAGCCACTGTCCTCTGGGGCTTTTCAGGGCTGGTTTACACAGCGTGGAGGATGAGGTCTGGGACAGTCTCTTCTGAGTGCTGCTCTTTGCAACAGAAAAAGGGGCTGACCACTGGGAACTGTAGAGCCCCTGCGGCGAGCAGCCAGCTGAGGCTCACTGGTGCCCCTAGTGCCATCCTTTGTCCCACTCTGCCCTGTCCGTCTTTGGAGCTGGCTGTCTCCCTGGCAGTACTGGTCAGGGCCACTTCTACCTTTGTCCCAGGGAACCCTTCCTGATCTCCTTGCTGGGGCGAGTAAGAGATGGGAGGCCAGCCTGGGAGGAAAAGCACTGCACTGTCATAGTAGGGAGTCTGGCCCCACAGGAGAACTCCTGCAGTGATTCCCACACACGCCCCACAGAGAGATTAGGGCAGTTCCTATTTTCGCACCAGAGACACCAGCCCAGCTGCCAGCTCTCATGGGATTTGGGCTGTGCCTTCTAGGCAGGGTAGAGACGGAGCAGGTGGGGTCGTGGAGCCCCCACCCACCGCCCTGAGCCTGAAAAGAGACATTAGATCACATGAATACCTAGAGGCCTGAGTTAGCAATACCCATTTGGTTTCTGGCAGGAAGAGCAAGTGCAGGGAAGCTCAGAGCCACACGTCCATGTGGGAGAAATCATACACCTGCCTCCTTTATGAGGCCTCCTGCCCTCTGCCATTCCTCCTCCCCTGTTTCCTAGATTTGGTGCTGCCCTGCTGCCTGTGGGTAGACCAGAACAACCCTTTGAGCCCTGCCCTCAGTCCTGCTCCATAATTCCTTCTCTCCCACCCTGCCCCCACACCAGATGGGCAATTGCTGCTCTACCTCCCCGCCCCCACATCCTGCTGAGTGTGTCAGCAGCACAGACTTCCAGGGCTGTCCCATCCTGCGGTGTGGTCAGGGGGACACCAGGAGGGAGCGGAGTGTGCAGCAGAGAGGCAGGCGAACTCCTCGTGGGACAGCAGCACAGACAGCAGGCCAGGAGTTCTGGTGCCCTCCGCCTCCCAACTCAGACTCACCCCACCCCTCCCTACTCCCTCATCAGGTCCAGCCTCCACCTCCAGGTTTTGCTTTCTGAGAACTTGGGCTGTGGTTAACAAAACTGAAGCTCAGGGGCCTGCTTCCTCAGCCATTGCCAGATGATACTCAGCTCTACCCGTGGACCTGCCTAGTCCTCTCAAATCCAGCCTAGTATCCCATGGCTAAAATGAACAAAAGACTAGCCCCTTCCTGCATGTTGGATAGTTCTGCTGGCAGATGTGTGGTCTTCTTAGCTGGCCACTCATGCAGCTAGGTCATCAGCTGCTGCTTGCAAAACAGCACAGAGAAAGGGCAGTCCAAGAGGCATGTCAGTCCTGTTCTCCTGACCTCTGCCCTGGGAGCAGAACAAGCCTGGGCACAAGATCCCCTGGGTGGAGCCATGCTGCAGGGAGGCTGAGGATTAAGACACCCTGCAGTCCTGACCTTTGTGACTCACTGGCACAATGACTAATATTTCACTATGAAACATGAATGCAGAGACTCTGTTTACACTGGAGATGTCATGTGCAGAAAAAACAAAACATCTGAGAACCTACCCAGATTGATTTGTGCAAAAAACAGATTAATCTATTAGTTGAAAACTAGATAAGACAGGAAGGGAGGTAAAGAGTTGTGTTTTAGGCTCAGCACCTGTGGCTCAAGTGGCTAAGGTGCCAGCCACATACACCTAAAGTGGTGGGTTCGAATCCAGCCAAGGCCCGCCAAACAACAATGATGGCTGCAACCAAAAAATAGCTGGGCATTGTGGCGGGTGCCTGTGGTCCCAGCTACTTGGGAGGCAGAGATAGGAGACTCGCTTGAGCCCAGGAGTTGGAGGTTGCTGTGAGCTGTGATGCCATAGCACTCTACCCAGGGGATAGCTTGAGGCTCTGTCTTAGAAAAAAAAAAAAGAGTTGTGTTTGGGCGGTGCCTGTGGCTCAAATGAGTAGGACGCCAGCCCCATATACCAGATGTGGCGGGTTCAAACCCACCCCATCCAAAAACTGCAAAAAAAAAAAAAAAAAAAAAGGTAAAATAAAAAAGACTTGTTTATGATACCTGATGCAAATTCTAGCAATAAAGAAAAAGAGTTTAAAAGTCCTGCAAAGCCCTACCACCCAGAAATACTGTTACTGAAAATTTGGGCATTCTCTTTGTCCTTATGTCATCATGCTGTACATATATTCCATGTTTTATTTTACAGATGTGAGTTTTTGTTTGTTTTCTGGTTTCTTTCTCTTTTTTTTTTTTTTCTGAGACAAAGTCTCACTTTGTTGTCCTCAGTAGAGTGCTGTGGCCTCATAGCTCACAGCAACCTCCAACTCTTGGGCTCAAGCAATTCTCTTGCCTCAACCTCCCAATTACCTGGGACTTACAGGCACCCACCACATGCCTGGCTATTTTTAGAGATGGGGTCCTCTCTCTGGCTCAGGCTGGTCTCGAACCAGTGGACTCAGGCAAACTACCCACCTCGGCCTCCTAGAGTGCTAGTATTACAGGCATGAGCCACCGTACCCAGCCTTTTATTTATTTATTCTTTTTTTTGAGACAGGGTCTCTATCACCCAGGCCAGAGTGCAGTGGCATTGTCATAGCTCACTGCCACCTCAAACTCCTGGGCTCAAGAGATCCTCCTGCCTCATTCTCTCAAGTAGCTGAGACTACAAATGCATGCCATGACACCTGGCCAACTTTTTTGTTTTCTGTAGGGAAAGGGTCTCACTTTTGCTCAGCCTGGTTTCCAACTTAACATGCTCTTTAATAGGGAGAATGCAGGGGGAACAAACCAGGCCAGGGGTACAGAGGGCATTTCAAACAGATGGGTTGGAGGAGGAGCACCAAAGGCTGGTGGTGAGGAGCTCCCTGAAGAGGCTGGCATCAAGGAGCTCCCCGACTGAAGCAGCAGGGAGATTAAGACCTATCTTTGCAGGATTACAGTTCCTAATTAGGAAAGGAGGTTTGCAGAAGGGGACGTTCAGCATTCCACAGCAGGGCTGTTTGCTTTTCCTGTCATCTTTCTGAGTGTGGCAGGACTTCCCCCGTCTTGGTTTCAGATGGAAAATGTGAAGACCAGAAGAAGCAGGTAGCTGTTAAGCCAGAGACAGGCTGCTTCTCTATGGGGCTTGCTTAGACCGCCCAGCATTGCAGAAGTGGGGAGAGCTGGGAATCCCCTAGGAAGTCTAGAGCAGGCCCCTTGGTGTATAAAGGGGGAAACTGTGGCCCATAGAAGGAAAAGGAGTTGCATATAACAGTGTAGACTCGGAGACTGGTGAGCTCCTACCCTTCTTCATGACTGAGAATGATTCTCTTTCCTCTTAAAACATAAATCAGTGTCTTGCTTTACGAAAATGCCATCTACAAAAATCTATTATTCAGAAACACAAATATGTTGATTAGAAGGATAAGTCACATTGCAAAAGCCTTCTTCCCTTTATAAGAGAAGGAACCAGAGGGCTCCTCCCATGGCAAGCTTCCTTCCAATATTTTATGTGGATTTTGTTCTCCCAAACTCCATGTTTGGTACAAGTATATTTCATAAGTTAGCCCTCTGGAATGCCAAAACTGCTCCACAGCTGTTAGCACATTGTTGTTTATGATGATGGATTCATAAGGATTTGGGAGAACGGACATTAGAAAGCCCTAATTTAAGAGTTTGATAGCATGAGGGCCCCAGACCCATCTGTGGGGCTCAGTTGGGGTCAGGGCAGGATCAGCTACATAATTTGCAAAAGATAAGAGTTGGGACCACTTGTTCCCAAACATTATTAAGATTTCGAGATTTCAGCAGCAGAGTATTAAAGCAAGCATGGGGCCACCTAAAGGTGGGACTCTGAGGTCAAACACCCATGCGGCTGGCCCTAGCTCAACATGAATGGTGGGGTGGATTGCTGGTATGGAGATGAGGTGCCCAGAGGTGAAGGGCAAGGCTGATAAACCACAAATCTGGTCTATCCAGATATCCAGATGCTTTATTTCTTCTCTTCTTCTATTTTTGTCTCCCCAGCTAGAGTGCTGTGGCATCCTAGCTCACAGCAACCTCAAATTCTTGGGCTCAAGCAATCCTCTTGCCTCAGCTGGGACTACTGCGTGCACTACCACGCCGGGCTAATTTTTCTGGGTTTTTTTTTTTTTTTTTTTAGTAGAGACAGGTCTCTCTTGCTCAGGCTGTTCTGGAACTCCTGAGCTCAAGCAATCCACCTTCCTTGGCCTCCCAGAGTGCTAGAGTGCTAGAGTTACAGGCATGAGCCGGTGCACCCAGCAGCTTTGCGATTCTTTACCTTCCCACATCTGTTTGGCTTAAGCTCCCAGTAAATGAGTCACTCCTGCAGTCACAGACTGGCAAGGCAGGGGGGGAGTCTGGAGAACCCCACAAATTGCACAGTAGCTCAGGTCATGGATGGGCTCCTGACTACGGGCCAGGCCTCGAGCTAGTGCTGCACACTCCAAATCACTTAATGTGCAGAGAAACAGCAGCACAACACGGCAGCTAAGAGGACAGGCTCCAGAGACAGATGCCTGGTTCAAAGCTCACTGGCTGCAAATCCTGGGCAGGTTTCATACTTGTGCTGTGCCTCAGGTTCCTCAGCTGCAGGACAACATTTTAAGGGTTACCTGCGTTATGAGACAGTATTAAGCTCTTGACCCAGTGCCTAGCACACAGTGATGTTTGATGAATGTCTGCTGCATCGGGGTGATGCTGATGCTGAAGAAGGAGTGAACCCCCCAAGTCAAGTAGTAGCATCTCCATTGTAGAGAGGGAAACTGTGACCCAGAGATGAGGGGAATTGCCTGAGGTCACCCAGCAAATGAAGATGCTGGGCTCTTTCCTGTCACAGTACCTGGCAGGGAAACTTTCTGGTTTTGTGTAAATTCAGGTGCCTGAACCCATAATGCTGATTCAAAGTCCATCCATTAGCTGGGCACACACTTGCTGGGCCTCACGTGTGTGCTGGGCCATCGTCTTGAAGCTGAAGGTGTATAAAGAAGGAGGTGGGAGGGAGGGGACTGAGAGTGCAGTGATTCTCGCTCTAGCTCGTGTCTGGTCCCTGGAGTTTAGGGGGGAGGAGAAGACAAGGACAGAGGGACCCTTCAGCCTGCTGAGTTCCCCGTGAAATTCACAACCAATCCAGTTCCCTCCACCTCAGCCTCCCAGGCAGGTGCCGTCAAGAGGCAGGTGATAACCTAAAAGCAACCGAGACATCACAGGCCACAAGAACTTCTGGGGAGCCACACCCTGTTTTCTTTCCATGAGTGAAGGAAAGACAGGAACAGAGCTCACAGAGCCTGAGTTTGAGGGTGTAGGGGGCTTGCCGTCTTTTACCTCGGACCTCAGCACTCACGTGGGGACCTTCCTGCTCTCCTCGCTGATCCCTGTTTCCTGCTCTTCCCTCCCCAGGGTCAGTGGACTTTCCCCTTTCATGGGTGACAACGATAACGAAACCTTATCCAATGTTACCTCAGCCACCTGGGACTTCGATGACGAGGCCTTTGATGAGATCTCCGATGATGCCAAGGATTTTATCAGCAGTTTGCTGAAGAAAGATATGAAGTAATGAGTTGAGATTTCAGTCTTTGCAGCCTCCCCTCTCCCTGCACTGGGGGCGGAAGGCAGGGGTTTCCTTTGCCTGCTGGAGCTCCTCTTCCACCCAGGCCCAGACAGTCCTGGCGTTCCCTGAGGAGGGGAGGGTGGGCATTATGACAGACCCAGCCCAAGTGACGTTGGGAGGGGAGGGGTATTCCGGGGCCCCTGTTCCCTGGTCCTAGACGCTGTGTTTATCTGTAGAAACAGTACAGAAACCTGACTTGAAAAACAGCACCTGACCTACCAGCCTCAGGTGGAGAAGGAGCTTGAATAATGATCACCCCCTTTATTTTCTGGTTGTGGCCTGTCAAAGGCGTCTGGAACCTCAACTCCTCTTCAAAGGTTGCAAGGAAATCACCCTGTCAACAAACAAAAGCAGTGACAGAGGCATCCTTAGGACCTGTTCATGCCTCCTGATCTTGTCCCCAGATTATTATGGCTTGGTGTGTTTTCAATATCTGAATTTTTAGCAGCTGCCTTCCCGAATATGGCCAGGTACCTTCTAACACTGCCTAAAGGGCAGTGACCCCAGATCAGTGGGTTCAGCCCTCTCGCAGCTCCATCTCTGTCCCCTAGACCCCAACAGTGTGGACTGTGAAGTTCCCCACCTCTGCCCCTGGTACGGCCCAAGGAGTCAGTGGGTGAATGTGGAATGGTCAGGAACAATGGGAGGTCAGTGTGCCTAGGCCTGAGCCTGTGGGCAAAGGGCAGTGAAAGAGACCAGAGCCCGGAGGAGGAGGGATTGGTGGTGGGCAGATGTGTTGATGAAGACTGTCCTGGTGAGAGGGGCACCCTGGAGAGAGCTGCCCAGGGGAAGGGAGCAGTAGGATGACAGGTGAGACCAGCTGGCCTGGTAGCTGCTCACCCACTCTGTAGCTATGGGCCAGATGAGGCAGGGCCTGGCTGTAGGTGCGCCCAGAAGCTTGGAGCAACGTGGTGATCTTTCATCCAATCCTCCATCCTCCTCGGAAGCACTTGCAGCCTTGCCTGAGAAGTTGAGATGGCTGGGGCAGGGAGAAGGGAGGGGTGGCCCTTCCCTGGTAACTTTACAGCCTAGTGAGTCTGCAGCTGGCTGCCCTCTGGGGACGTGCCGATCAGAACAGAAGTCAGTTGCTTTGGGACACTGCTAGGGAGTAACTGAGATACCTCTGTCTGGTTTCTTGCTACCCTCCCCCTTCTAGGTCCTTTTTAGCCAGCTCAGGGCCAAACTCCCCCACAGGCCACATTTCACACTCCTTCACAGGGAGGTTTCCAGCCTGCTGCTGTCACAGTCTGTATCAGAAATGGGCACGGCCCAAAGAGAATTAGGATGTTGTGGGGGTCTAAATTCCCTTCCCATGTGAGGGCTCCCAATGCCCAAGGTGCTTTAGGAGATTGAGCCCTCTGAGAATGACTTTTCTGAGGGTGACTTGTCTGAGAATGGCTTTTGTCAACCCATCTTCATTTACTAAAGAGTTGGTATATATACCTTATTTTTTCATCTGACCTTGAATTAAATCAGTAACAGGTTGTGTTGGGCCCCTCTGTTCTCATGAAATGAACTCACCAAAGAACTGATCTTATTCAAATAGATCAAGACCCTAAATTTCCACCAACTCTTATACCCAGCATCTCTTCAGCAATGTCCATCCATCAGCACTTGTTAAAAAAGCCTTTTCGGCTTGGTGCTTGTGGCTCAGCAGTTAGGGTGCCAGCCACATACACCAGAGCTGGCAGGTTTGAATCCAACCTGGACCTGCCAAACAACAATGACAACTACAACCAAAAAATAAAAATAGCTGGGCATTGTGGCAGGCACCTGTAGTCCCAGCTACTTGGAAGGCTGAGGCAAGAGAATCTCTTAAGCCCAAGAGTTTGAGGTTGCTGTGAGCTGTGATGCCATAGCACTCTACTGAGGGCAACAAAGTAAGACTCTGTCTCAAAAAAAAAAAAAAAAAAAACAAGCCTTTTCTATTATAAAAGTAATACATGCAAATTATAGATAAGTTGAAGCATTGATAAAATTTTAATTCATCCATAATTCCTTTATCTAAAGATTACTAACATCTTGTTTACTGCTTTGCAGTCATTTTTATATGTATGTTAGCATTTGGTTCTTCAGGCCTTATTAGTCCTGTTACAATTAAGGTGATGACCCTAAAATATTTCTAGATCCCCAGAGCTTTCAGAAGGATGAGATGAGTTTCAGTGCAGTTCGAAGGTTGTCGTAATTCACAGGTTTTATGTAGGCCATGCTTATTTGGGTTGTAACAGGAAAAACCTGATACTCCATTGCACCATAAGACTTGAAAATTCAATGATTCACAGAGATTTTATCCTGGTATTTATACCTCCCACTGGACAGGGAGGCAGAAGGATTAGGCTTCAAGGGCCCCACTCTCACGTGCCCAGTGATATGAGCCCTCCCCAGAAGTGTTGGCCTTGCAGCACAGACTCTTCCCAGATCCTAGGAGCAGGTCCTGGGGCTCCAGTTGCTTTCATGATGGTAAGGCCTTCATGACACTGAGCTATGCTGGGTCTAGTTAGTGTAACCAGAACCAAGAGAGGGAAGAGGTGAAGACAGTGACCTGATCACAGAGGATGGACTGGGAGTAGGGAGCCTTGACCTCTGTCCCTGTGCCGGGGACAGGTGAACCCCCACCCCCACCATTTCTGATCTAGCCACAGTGGCCTCTGAGTAGTCTCCTCCTACTCAGAAATCCTCTGATCTCTGCCTCCACCAGAAGCCGCTTGGACTGCACCCAGTGCCTCCAGCATCCGTGGCTAATGAAGGACACCAAGAACATGGAAGCCAAGAAGCTCTCCAAGGACCGGATGAAGAAATATATGGCAAGAAGGAAATGGCAGGTAACATGAGGGTCACTTTGGACTGGGATCTTGTCCCTTGTGTTTTCTTTATTTAAGCCACTTTTATTCCTAGCTTTCCTTGGCCGCAACTCCAAGAAAGTTTAGATTCATTTCTGAAATAGTCTTGGACCAATTTAGGCAGCTGATTAAGGTACAGTGGTCTGCTTAGTCCTGGGCACTGAGTCCCTTTCTCAGGGGAAATTGGATTCCTAACCACAGCTCTCTCCAAGAACCTGCTCAGCATCGTGTCGGAGGGGCCTCACACAGCCTGGCCCTTACTCAGGTCATATCTTCATATCTTCACAGGATGAGCAGCATGAGGCCTAGTTGGCAACACTGGAGAATGTGATCTCCCTAAAGGTAGTGTGATGGTCTCACATTTCTGTACAGTGAGGGAGAGAAAGACATGGCCCCCACCCTCTAGGGATACTGTATGTTAATAGCTACGTGTCCTTAGTAAATGACTTAACCTTGCTGTGGATTTGTTTTCTCAGTAGTTAAGTGGGTAATAGTGGTACCAACTTCACAGCATTGCTGTGCTAAGTATATGAGATCATCTTCACGTGACCTCCAGTACAACACCTACCATGGGTGCATGTTCAGAAATGATATCAGTAGCTAATAGGCACTGAGGCTGGCCATGTGTTGGGGACCATTCAAAGCCCTTTCTATGCACTGTCTTTTAATCCTGTGAGGCAGGTACTATTATTATCCCCACTTTACAGACAAACCAAGGCTGACAAGGGGTTAGGAAAGTCACCTAGGATCACACATATACCTCCTACATGGTTCCAAAGCACACAGTCTTGGCTCGGCGCCTGTGGCTTAAGTGGCTAAGGTGCCAGCCACATACACCTAAGGTGGCGGGTTCGAATCCAGCCTGGGCCCACCAAACAACAATGATGGCTGCAACCAAAAAATAGCTGGGTGTTGTGGTGGGGGCCTGTGGTCCCAGCTACTTGGGAGGCTGAGGCAGGAGACTCACTTGAGTCCAGGAGCTGGAAGTTGCTGTGAGCTATGATGCCACGGCACTCTACCCAGGGGGACAGCTTGAGGCTCTGTCTCAAAAACAAAACAAAACAAAAAACAAAGCACACAGTCTTAACAATACAAAACTGCTGCCTCAGGTAACAGGATGGGTAAGATCATCCAAAACCAGGGAGTACTTATTTATTACCATTATCATCTATTTTTATTAATTTTATTGTTACAGTTAGGATTTTCAAACATTCCTGGGCTGCTGGCGAGCACATGGTTTCTGTACTCAGGGCAGGGATGTGTAACAGGAACAGAAGAACTGGGCGTGGAAGAACATAGCACACAAGGAATTACGAGCTATCACCATAGCTCTCCATTCCACAGCCTGGGTGTGGGCAGGGGTGCAGAGCAGATGATAGCCACAGGTGGCTGTGGTTATGAGCAAATGCTTCCGGGGCAGGAGTTTGAGATTAGGGATGGCACCTGAGCTAGAACACAGAGAAGGGCTGGGCGACAGCGCAGGGGAGGAAAGGTCCAGGGAGCAGTGTCTTTTAGCTGGAGACTCAGGAGACCTGGGGGCATTGAGACCTTTCCTAGGTGCAGAGAAAAAGGAAATCACTGTTTGGGGAACAACTGTAACCCTCGTCATTTGCCACATGGGGCAACTAAACCATAACTTCCTCGAAAAGTATAAGTTTACACAAAGGTTGAGAGAGGGAGCATGGGTGTGGGGTTTCAGGGACCTCCACCCTGAGCACACCTTTGCAGTTGAAGGCAGCTCTTGGTTAGGGTTAGACCCCTTGCGTGAAGGTTTAGGTGGGTCTCCTGGCCTCCTTCAACTCTAAGGCAAACACCTGTGCTGCTTATTTTCTGGTGCCATTAGGATCAGAGTAGCAAATATTCTTTAAAAAAACCAAAACCAAGGATTATTTCTGTAATCCCAGCACTCTGGGAGTCCAGTTGATCACTTGAGTTCAGGAGTTTGAGACCAGCCTGTGCAAAACAAGACCCCACATCTACTAAAAATAAAAAAACTAGCCAAGTGCTCTGGCAGGTGCCCATAGTCCCAGCTACACGGGAGGCTAAGGCAAAAAGATCGCTTCAGCCAGGAGTTTGAAGTTGCTATAAGCTATGAAGCCACAGCACTCCACCCAGGGCAACAGAGTGAGACTCTATCTCAAACAAACAAACAAACAAAAAAACCAGAAAGAGGTCTACAAAATAAATTCTTGGCTTTATTAATGATCCTACGGCCAGCAGATCTCACAAAGGTACTTCTGAAAAGATAGGGTAGCTAGTATGAGGAAGGGGCAGTCCTCTGAGGACAGTTGAACTGGATTTTGTTTGGATGAGCCTGTGGGTTAGGGGAGCAGCCTTATCACCTCAGAACCTCTGCAGGTGGACCGTGGCCAGGAGGATGGCTGAACACTGGGAGTAAGTGTGGTAAAGAGATAAGGAAATGGGAGAGGAGGCAAGTGGATTCCTTCAGCCAGATCAGTCAGGAAACATTATTAACCATTGGATTTTTGGAAGGGTAGAATTCAGAGAAGGAACCTTAATGTCATATTTTAATATAGGTGGCAGCATCTGGAAATGATTTTTCCACAAAATGAGTGGTCAGGTTCAGCGCCTGTAACTCAAGTGGCTAAGGCGCCAGCCACATACACCAGAACTTGCGGGTTCAAATCCAGCCCGGGCCTGCCAAACAACAATGACAACTACAACCAAAAAATAGCCAGGTGTTATGATGGGTGCTTATAGTCCCAGCTACTTGGGAGGCTGAGGGAAGAGAATTGCTTAAGCCTCCCAAGGTTGCTGTGAGCTGTGATGCCATGGCACTCTACCCAGGGCAACAGCTTCAGGCTCTGTCTCAAAAAAAAAAAAAAGAAAATCAGTGGTCAGGTTGCACAAAATTACACACACAAAAGTAGTCCAGAAAATCCCACCCAACAAGTAACATCCCAGAAGCATAATTTCCCTGGTACTAGTTTAGCTGTGGGTGACCATCGTGTGCTATGGTGCTTCCTTAGGAAACTGTTTTCCATATTTTTTTGTTTTAAATTATTTATTCATATGCGTCAAAAGTGCAACTCTAGAAAGCAATAACGATATCCAATGTCTGCAAAATAATTTCCCCAAATGCAGTAATCAGTTTTGTTGAATTTATGACAAACTTACAACAAAAGCATAAGCATTTCTGTTAGGACACTAATGTGTTTACAAAATTTATTTGAAAGTGTTGAAATGGTTTTCATACCCTACAAGCTTTAAACTTTAAATTTGAATTAAAAGGGCCAGGTGAGGTGGCTCACACCTGTAATCCTGGCATTCTGGGAGGCTGAGGTAGACGGATCACTTGAAGTCACTAGTTGAGACCAGCCTGAGCCAGAGCGAGACCCTGTCTCTAAAAAATAGCCAGGTGCTGTGGCAGACACCTGTATTCCCAGCTACTTGGGAGGCTGAAGCAAGAGAATTGCCTGAGCCTAAGAGTTTGAGGCTGCTGTGAGCTATGACTACAGGGTGTTCTACTGAGGGCAATGGTGAGACTCTGTCTCAACTGTTTTCCATATTTTAACTCCAGTCCTCATTACCTCAACTCCCCCTGGAATAGGGGGTTCGCTCTTGCAGCAGCCAAGGTTCTGTGTGATGAAGTGGGGCCAGTGGGCCATGGGAGAGTGAGAGAGGGCCAGGGCAGGCCCAGCTGTGCCAGAGAAAGGATCTCCTTGTTCTTCTGTGGTTTTCATAAAAGGCCCCCGGAGGATGGCAGTGACATAGGAACAAAGCTCTGCAGGCCAGACTGGTTAGGTATAGATGACTAATCATATTATTCATCTTAGAAGGAAGTTATTCTGAAAGAAGATACATTTTAAACTTACATGAAAAATTGTACAAAGACATGTTGGTGAGGCATAGCAAGGGGAATAGGTGAGTTCAGCAGGATAACAGGGTTTCTGCACACAAACCAGAAGCAAAGGCAATGAGTTGGAGGTCCCTGGGCAACCATATTATTCTCTGGGAACTACCAGCAGCATCGACCAAAGGGCAATAGGGGAGAAAGCATTAGACTTGATATTGCTCAGAGTATTCTTGGCCATCCATTTGGATAGTCTATATTGCCCAGAGGAAATCTTGAGACTGTTGGCATATATGGCGTAGGGAGCCTCCTACCCCATATCTAACAGGCTGGTGTGGAAGTAACCAGAGTGCCTTGTTTTGCCAGGGACTGTTTTGGTTTTAGCAGTGAAAGACTCTAATCCTGGGGTTTCTGCAGTCTGTACACCAGCATGGCCGTGCCAGCTTTCCAAGGGGTGGGGTGCAAGGAGGTTAGTACAGATACTGCTTACCAGGGACAAGGAACCAAGCTGCTCTCAAACAAGAAAAAGGCTTCCTCAAAACAAGGATGGAAATTAGAGAATTGAAACTTGGTTGTTTTGCTATTCCAAAAATTCCCAAAGGTCTTGATCAGTAAAGCAGCAACCAAGTTTCAGCTCAAAAGCACGAAACTAGAAGACCAGAACATACAGAGTTCTGACAGAGAACTTCCTTACCCATTATTTTTTCTGTAATCAGTTTCTGAAGATTGAATTCTGATGTAGAGTGTTTTTAAATTTTTCCCTACTGTGCATTTTTTACATTTCTCCCTGTTTTAGAAATTACATGCTGAGTATCTCTATTTGCTAGGAAATGTCCCCCTATATGAGGCCTACTTATTTGTTAATATACTTGCTACTTCCTTTGAAATACTATAACTCTTTTGTTTGCCTCATTCTGATAACTTCATATTAGTTGTTTCCTTACACATTAAAATCAGAAAGAGAAAAGGTACCTGTCTGCACCACCACCCAAGTGGAGACCTTCCAAATCAGTACCCATGCAGGTGTCTGGAATTAGGGAGCCCCTGGCTCAGGGAAGTGTCCATGGGTGTGAATCACAGTCTTTCGGCAGAAGACTAGAGAAGCCAGATTAGAATCTTCTGGTTGCTCACGCCTATAATCCCAGCCCTCAGGGAATCCAAGATGGGTAGATTGCTTGAGCTCAGGATTTCAAAACCAGCCTGAACAAGAGAGAGAGACTCTATCTCTAAAAATAGCTGGGCATTGTGGTGGGCGCCTGTAGTCCCAGCTACTTGGGAGGCTGTGAACCAAGTGGATCACTTGAGCCCACTGCTGTGAGCTATGACACCATGGCACTCTACCAAGGGCAACAAAGTGAGACTCTGTCTACCCCCAAAAAAGAAGAAGATTAGAATCTTCTAGTCTAATGACACTGATAGGAACTGATTTGCACAAGGTCACCCAGCAATTGGTGGCCAGAGAACTAACCTGCCCCATATTGGAAACCAGTCTTCTGAGTTTGGAGACGCCCACTCCAGGGCAAAGCAATCAGTGCTGGGTAAAGGGAATCTCCCACTGAGAAGGGCAGAGTCTGAATTTGGGCAGATTAGGAAGTGGCATAGTCTGATATTGACTCCCATAGGGAGGGCTGCCACAGCTGGCACCACCCTTTCCCCCAGGGTAGAGATACCTCCCATGGGAAGAACGAGTCTCTAGTCTCCCCACACTCCAGCTAGCACAACAAACAGACCAACCATGGCATCGGTAACAGCCTCTCTCAGAAGAGAATGAAAGGTTGCCTCTGGCATCAGTCTGCAGAGGCATTCTCTGCAGGGGCACAGTGCTTCTGCATGCAGTGAAGCTGTCTAGTTGCCTTCTCTCACCTTCTTCCTTATTACCTCTACCTGTGGCTTCCTGTGTTCTGTTCAGCAACCCAGCCTCACCATGGCAGCAGGAGGCCAGAAGCGTAGCCATACCACACTAGTGATATGTGCAAGAACAGGTGGCCAGAGGACAGAGCAAGGTGGAATGTCTGTCCAAAATGCATGAGACAGTCTGCAACAAGAAGGGGAGGGGGCAGAAAGTGGTTGGGGTTGTAGCAAGTCTCGACGAAAACCATACACGCACATGTGCACGCACATACAATTTTTCATGTGATTCCTTAGTATCCTGAAGTTCTTTGCTTTCAAAATAATCTTTTTACTGAAGCATACTAACTTTCCAAGTAGTCTGAAATCAAGCTTTGCTACACAATTATAAGAGGGACTTTACCTAACAAATGCAAGCGGTGGAACCTGGTTCTTTGTACCCTCAGTGATTCCCCAACAATAACAACAACAACAACAAAAGATAACATATAAGAGTTAAAAAAAAAAAAAAAAGAAAGAAAGAAATCAAGCTTTGCTGAAATACTTGAGTATGTGAAGTTAACTGAGGAGGAAAATGGCTTTACTGGTACAGTTTGAGGTCCTGTGAGTGTATACAAGCCACGTGCCTACAAAGAGGCTGTTTCTGTCATCTCTCAGAGGGGGACAAGTGGCCAGTCTGTGGTGACACAGCCTTTGGATTCCGGACAAAAATGCTCTGGGTGCAGGGGTGGAAGGACTTGGTTATGCCTTCGTTTTCTTGGTCATTCCAATGGAGCTTAGAAAAAGGGCAGGAAATTTTATTGAAAGATAAGAAACAGGGACACAATTGTACATTGTTGGGGATTTCACGACCTAAACCCTACACTTGGTAGAATTTTCACAATGCAGAGCAATTACATCTGGGGTTCTCAGCTTTTTCAGGAGAAATTCTGTCCTCTCCCAAACTTAGTCTCAGAAAAGCAAAATGCCATTGCTTTTCATACCTGTGGGCCCTGCTTTCTGATGCCTGAGTGTGCACCACAGGCGAACACCCCTCCAGGGCTCACTGCACAGTCACAGAGTTGTGCTGGGGCCAGCCAGAGTGTTTCTCCAAATCTCTTAAGTATCCAGATCATAAACAGAACTAAATAGGACTTTGGAGATCGTCTTGTCCAAGCCCCTCTTTATATAGAAAAGGAAACTGAAGCCCAGAGAAGTTAAGTGACTTGCCCAAGGTCAACAGAAAGCTAGGAAGCTGTTTGTTGGGTTTTCTTCTGGCATTTTTGCATCAGGACCTGTGTGATCTGCAGTAACTATTCTTTTGACCAATCAAAATCCCACTGCTGGCATCTTTTTACGAGAAACAGCCACACTAGGCCCAGTCAGCAATAAGTCTCTGGAGCTGTCTCAGCCTGCAGTCGCTTTATATAAACTATCCCTTTTATGGGAGTTGAAGCACAGTATGAAAGGGTTTTTGTCTCATGTTGACCTTGTTTAGTCACATTAACGCACAGATCAGTTCCAGGCCCCATTCCATTCCCCGAACATCTTCTGACACGCTGATAGTACTGAGCAGAGCAAGGTTGGGCTCACTCTTCTGGCAGAAGCTCGGCATTCAGAGGCCCTCGTTCTGGGGAACAGCTGTTCCTTCTGGGCCAGGCTCCTCTCCTCAGAGCCCCCAGCACTGCCTGGCTGGAACTAGGGACACCGCCAGAGTCCAACCCCAGTGTCTATTTTCCAGAAAACGGGCAATGCTGTGAGAGCCATTGGAAGATTGTCCTCTATGGCAATGATCTCAGGGCTCAGTGGCAGGAAATCCTCAACAGGGTCGCCAACCAGCCCGCTCAATGCAGAAAAGCTAGAATCTGAAGGTAAGGAGGGTTTTCTCCAACGGCTGGGGACAAAGAAAGGGTTGGGGGACAGAGGAACATTTGGAGGTGGTGGTTTTATTTTGTTTCGTTTTTTTAATACACCCTCCAAAGATAAATTTGGAAGTATTTGGGGGTTGCCTTGACAACAACTACTAAGCCTAGTAATTATTCTTTATTTGTTTAACCTTAGGCTTTATTTGTTTAATAATTTTCCCTATGAAAACTAGACAACCTCAGTTGTTTTATTTTTTAATCTTTCTTCCTGGTGACTTTTCCTTTTGTCTTGACCTCAGCTATTCTTTTCCCTGTATTTTGTATAAGAATTAACAAAGACTTGATTAGAAGCATCTGCTTTTCTTATTATGAAAGTAATACTTATATATTGATAGGCAAAAATAAAAATCACATATAGCTCTGTAACATGTTAAAATATCCTTCTATTTTCTACTGAATTTGTGTTTTCGTTTTTAACAAAAATTAACCCAAATAGTCCATGTTCTTTTTGACATTGTTCATTCTGCTAAATCATCTCATTTGAGCGGGGCAGACCGAGACTGGCAGGGCCCCTCCTGGAGACCCTAGTTAGTTACTCTCTCGCTATTTTTGAGATGCTGTCCCATGTGTTCCTCAGTGAAGGCCTCAGCTTCCTCCTGCTTCAGGTGAACACAGGGCCTGGCCCTTGTCTTCTTGAGGTGCCTCGTTTGGCCAGAGGACCCACCCCAATCCTTCACTTTCTGGTACTTTTTGTATCTACAGGGGAGAAGCTGAGTCTAGATTCCTTGGTGCACAAAGGCAGGGTAATTGGCAGGGCCAGTAGCTGGCAGCTCTGGAGCTTTCTCGCAGCTGGGGACAAAGTCTGCAGCACATGGGCCTGGTCACTCCTGAGCTGCTCCCGCCACTCCCCAAATGACCTAGAGATAGCCTGAATGGAGGGAGAGGATATAGGAGCCTCCCAATAATGGCTTTCCCCTGGACCAGTCCCCCATCCCATCCACACTCACACAATGTAAAGGCAGAACAGAACCCCTGGCAAGTTGAAGATGCCTGTAGGACCTGGGTCCTCCCATCTAAGGAGCAGGGGAAGGACCACCTGTGGGAGGAGGGCACGGGGTGCCAGGATCAGCAAGGCTGGCGAGGGTCTATCCTTCTCAGATACCCTTAACTAAATCCTGAGACAGCAGGAAATGCAGCCAGAAATCCTTTTAAAAGATGATTTCCCTTTTCAGTGTGTCAGCGTAAGGGAACAGGGAGGCTGAACATTTCCTCAGATTGGGCACAGTTCTGTCTTATGCCAAAAACCATTTGGCAGCAGGCCATCCTGCCCATCCCCAGGAGAAAAGGCATGCTGATGATCCGGTTCTCTAAGTTACATTATTTCCTAAATTATCCCATTTTTTTTTTAAGTTAGTGCTTTTAAACTAGAGGAGAGGAGAGAACAAGGAATGAAGAAATGACCTGGTCTTCTCCCCTGTCTTCCAGAAGATGTGTCCCAATCTTTCCTTGAGGCTGTCGCTGAGGAAAAGCCCCACATAAAACCCTATTTCTCTAAGACCATTCGTGATTTAGAAGTCGTGGAGGGAAGTGCTGCTAGATTTGACTGCAAGATTGAAGGTAAGTAGCAGCTGTGCTTCTCTCCACCACACCGGGAGCAGCTGTACCCATCATTGTTGTGCAATCTGGAGCAATTCGGAGCAGCCAGGCCTGGGGAAAACTGGGTGAGGAGGAGCTGATGAGAAAGGGCTGCTCCCTCCACCCCCGCCTCCTGGAGGTGTAAGGAACACCTCCCTGACTATGCAACACGCTTGATGAAATGAGCTTTGTGAGCTGCCAAGGAGCAAGTGAAGTGCTACCCACACAAAGGTTGGCCAAAGAGCATATGAGGTAGAGTCAGCTCTGCCACTCACCCACAGGCTGGGTGGCCTTCCAAGGGGAGTGATCTCATGCTCCTGGTTCAAGGCCCAGAATGAGGTTCAAGGCCTCATTCTGTGAGGTGACATAGTAAAAAAGGGAAATCTTAAGCTTTTAAAAGATGGCATGGAGTAAAGAGAGGATGTCAGAGAGTCAGGTTGAGTTGTGGGACTGGCCAGTGCAGGGAGAGAGCATGTAGGCCAGGTGGGTTCCAGGCACCTGGGACAAAGCACTCGTTGTCCTCATGCCGTGTCTCTGCTTGCCAGGAATAATGCGGACATGGGATCATGGTGGTCTGAACTCAGGGGACCTGGAAGCAGTCTTGCCATGCACCTGAGAAATGAGCAAAATTGATGGCACAGGCTTTTCAGATTCCACAGATTGCAACATTGTAGAAAGACAGGCCCCTTTGTTCCACATTTGTGACTGTCACATGCCAACTAGGGAGGAGGGCTACCTCCCATTTTGGTCTTACCAAATAAAGCACGAAAGCTTGTTAAGCAACTATACCAAGGCCACATAGCATGGGCCGCGGTCAGAACAAACTGTGCCCCTCACTCTATGGGGATCTCCAGCGCTGTAACTCTCTACACTGCCGTTAAAGTGAAATAACCCAAAGTTAGGAATGAAAAAGCAATTTTTCTCCTGTATCTTTATATTATCAAAGTGCCTAGTAAATACGTGGCCTACCATAATTTTTTTTTTCTTTTGCTCATTCAATTAAAAAAAACAACAACTGTTAGGCCTTTTGCTCATTCAATTAAAAACAACAACAAATGTTATGCCTTTGATGATGTGAAAGTTCTCAGACTGGGAAATCTGCCCAAAGCTTTGGGGCCACTGCTTGTAACTCTCACCATCACCATGGCTTTTGGTTCTTAAGAAGTTCTTCTCAAAAAAAAAAAAAAGAAAAGAAAAAGAAAGAACAAGTTCTTTTCCTGGCTGGGCACTTGTGGCTCAAGTGGCTAAGAAACCAACCACATACACCTGAGCTGGCGGGTTTGAATCCAGTCTGGGCCCACCAAACAACAATGATGGCTGCAACCAAAAAATAGCCATGTGTTGTGGTGGGCACCTGTAGTCCCAGCTACTTGGGAGGCAGAGGCAGGAGAATCGCTTGAGCCCAGGAGTTGGAGGTTGCTGTGAGCTGTGATGCACGGCATTCTACCCAGACCAACAGCTTGAGGCTCTGTCTCAAAAAAAAAAAAAAAAGTTCTCCTTTTTTCTTTTTAATATTTTTTTAATAACACAGTGCTCATCATCTTTGCAATTTTCTCCTTGGGATTATATCCCTTGGTATTTGTTTAACTTTTCACTGGCAATCTGATGAAAATTATGGTATTATATCTGGATGCTGTTTTGATAAAACCAAAATTCTACTTGAAAGCAATGTTAGGATTCTTAATTTCTTATGTACAATTTTCATTCTGGTTGGAGCTATAATTTTTTTTCCTATAAAAATGCTTCACAAAAATTTAAGAGCAAGTCAGTTGGGATATATTGCATAACATATCTTTATTTAAGTATGTGTATATATGTGTACAGTATGGGTGACACATGTGTACATATGTACTCATACAATTTTAAAAATATGTAATGTATATGTGTGTGTGTGTGTTATATTTTTTTAATGCCGAACTTTGCAGAAACATAACTGATGCATAAAGTGAGGCTAATGAATGCAGTCCATTTCTGATTATCTACAAGCAGATTGCCTGCTTTGATCAGATTAAGACATTGCTTTCTCTTAGCAATATTATCAGCTCCTCTAACTTACGTTTTATATAGCTGTCATCAGCTTTATTGAGTTATGATTTACATGCCATAAAAATTCACCTATTTTAATTGTGCAATTCAATTTCTAGTAATTGTATAGTCATGTCACAAAATCCAATTTTACATTTCCATCCTCCCCAAGATCCCCTGCTCATATTTATCTTGACGCTTATTTGTAGTTAAAGTTTTTTTTTTTTTTTTTGAGACAGGATCTTACTCTGTAACCCAGGCTAGAGACCACTGGTGTGATTGGTCACAGCTTGCTGCAGCCTCAAATTCTTAGGTTTAACCATCCTCTTCACTCAGCCTCCTGAGTAGCTGGGACTACAGGCACATGCCCAGCTAATTTTTCTATTTTTAGTACAGATCGGGTCTTGCTGTTACTCAGGCTGGTCTTGAACTCCTTGACCTTAAACAATCCTCCTACCTCAGCCTCCTAGAGTGCTAGGATTACAGGTGTGAGCCACTGCACCCAGCCTAAATTAAACTTTTATACAAGATTATAAAAGTGTATTTTCATCCAAGAGGATACTTAGCTCTAGGTGTGTAATTGGACATGGGACAGTACTTCAGGTAGTACTCTGTATCTGTCTAAAGGTGGGGTATGTGCACGTCCAACATGGATGGAAAAAGGGATAACTTTAAAATATTAGTGTTTATATTCGGCGCCTGTGGCTCAAATGGCTAAGGCACCAGCCACATACACCTGAGCTGGCGGGTTTGAATCCAGCCCAGGCCCGCCAAACAACAATGACGGCTGCAACCCCAAAATAGCCAGGTGTGTGGCAGGCTCCTGTAATCCCAGCTACTAGGGAGGCAGAGGCAGGAGAATCGCTTGAGCCCAGGAGTTGGAGATTGCTGTGAGCTATGATGCCATGGCACTCTATCCAAGGTGACAGCTTGAGGCTCTGTCTCAAAAAAAAAAAAGAAAATATTAGTGTTTACAATACTTGCCCATATTCCAATGTACATACCAAAACAGATGCTAAATACCAGCATCTTAGTTTTTTTTTTGTCCTTGACCCCTTAATCAATAGAGGTAGCTTAGGAGTTGCTTGCATAAGTTGATAAGAAATTTTGAATAATCATTTCTGCAATTTTTGTTCTCTTCCTGTGTTGCAGGATACCCAGACCCTGAGGTTGTCTGGTTCAAAGATGACCAGTCAATCAGGGAGTCCCGCCACTTCCAGATAGACTACGATGAGGATGGGAACTGCTCTTTAATTATTAGCGATGTCTGCGGAGATGACGATGCCAAGTACACTTGCAAGGCTGTCAACAGTCTTGGAGAAGCCACCTGTACGGCAGAGCTCATTGTGGAAACCATGGAGGAAGGAGAAGGGGAAGGAGAAGAAGAAGAGTAAAACAAAGCCAGAGAGAAGCAGTTTCTAAGTCATATTAAAAGGACTATTTCTCTTAACTCAAAAAACCCAAGGTAGTACAAGCACCTAGTGTGGTAGATTATCTAGTTACGTCATTTGGGGGTTGATTCTTCAGCAACAGCAGTTCTTGTTGGGCATTAATTTGAATTAGCTGGCACCCTAAGATACATAGTGCAGCTAGATTTCATTTAAAAGAAGTCACCAGTAACTTGTCTGACCGATTGATTAATTTAGAGAGAAAGTAACCAGGAGAAAAATTTATCTGGGCAAGTAATATATTCCCCAGCTGAAATCACTAATGAAAAATAAGGCCAAAGCAAGGGCTCTGGCCCTGCAACCACAGAGCAGCCCAAAGGGTCCCTAGGAATGGAAAGCCTCTCTCTCCCAGATTCTGACTCCAGAAAACTGGGTCTTCTCCAGGATTGCTGCACTTCATTCTGAAAGCAGTTGAGCCATTCTAATTTATGAGGCACACTTTATTCCAAAGTACATTTCTCATACTTCCCCCATTCTATCAGCCAGTTTTTCTGTATCTGAATTTATCATGGGTTTAAGCACTAAGGACGTGATGCTTCTAATTTTCAGAAGACAAGTCCCCTGCTCATGAATGACTCTGGCTTCCTTAGGAAAATAAAGTCTCCTTTCTTCTAAAATCATTGGGAAATCTGAACTTATCCCCTTTTTGCAAATGTTTGGTTTTACTTAAGAACCCGTGAAAACAAAAATCCTTGCTAATGTTGCTTTTCTTCTTAAACTAGGATTTATTTTCATGTTATTATAGAATATCAGCTCTGGATGTGTGGTAAAGACCTTTGTGTTTGAGTGTAGGAAAAACCAGTTTGCTGAAAAGTTAGTCTTAATTATTTACTGGCCACTATGAAAGAGATTTCAACTGAAAAGCTGTAGAACTCCACGTACTTTGGAATCTCCTTCAAGATAGTCTGAGTTTAATACATTTTCATTCTCAACACTCTCCAAAGAACTTGACCTACCTTATGGGTCCACGATACTTTTCTTCTTGACTGTGTATCAATCAAGCCTTGCCCCTAACCTTGAGGTATATTCTTAGACCTGATAAATGCACTCAGACTTGCATCTTTAGGGATTTTTAACTTTATTTCACTACATTGGCACTTAAATTTTTATCTTCATAAAACTTTTTGGAGGTCATAAATGAAGACCAAAATTGATAACCATAATACATTTCCTCTGTGTGTGTGTGTTACATTCCAATACGTTTTTCTTTTCCACTGTTTGTAAAGTTAATATTTCAAGGAACTTTTAAATAGTTCCTTAAGAACCAATTTTAAATTACTTCAGTGCAATCCTACACAGTATCAACATTAGATTTTTTATCTTAGTCTTATGTTAGCTTCCATTCTATTTTTATCTGCTTTTTGCTGCTCATTTCAAATTGCCAGTATTTTCCTTATTGCTTTTTGAACAGTTACAATATTTTTCAAAATAGCCACAGTATTGCCACCGTTTATTATAATAAAGGGTTTTTATTTGATTTAGAGTAGTCAAAGCTTTTGTTCCCATCACTTTTAATTGTGTTTAGACTATCATCCTGTGTGTGTGTGTGTATGTTGTGTGTGTGTGTGGTATATATGTGTGTTTATGGGCTCATGCCTTCTTGAAATTGTGTTAATGTTCTCTCAGTTTATTATGCCATCGGAATGGTAAATGAGAACACTACAATTGTAGTCAGCTCACAGTTTTTAAATAAAGGATACCACAGTGCGTGCTGTTTGTTCAATTTTTGCAGACTTTTTTCTCTCTTTCCATGCCACTAGGTGTAGAGTACACAGATACATCTTGAAAACACATAAAAACCGGGAGGCTAAGGCAAGAGAATCACCTAAGCCCAAGAGGTGGAGGTTGCTGTGAGCTGCGATGCCATGGCACTCTACCAAGGGTGACAAAATGAGACTCTGTCTCAAAAAAAAAAAAGAAGGAAAGAAAAGAAAACACATAAAAACACACTGCTCCGTAACTGTGAAGAAATTGGTGGTGTTTTCCTAAGGCACAGAATGACTTAGGTAGTTCTGATTTACATAGGTAGCCTAATTTATACATTTAGTTTAAAAATTTTCTTGAGCATCATTTTGATGCCATAACATTCTAGAAGTCCTTGTAAGGCTAAAATCTACATGACGGTCTTTGAGATTATTTTTATTATCTGCCAGTGAAAAATGTGTAATATTTACCCTATACCAGAAAAACAAATACACTTCCTTCCATTCATTTTCATCCCAAGCGTACAAAAAACAGCCCATAGATTATTCTTTACAGTGCAGATCTTATTAAAAGATGTGTCTTATGTTGTTTTTGTTTGTTTGTTTTGGGTTTTTTTTTTTTCTTTTTAAGATAAAGAGTCTCACACCCTCGGTAGAGTGCTGTGGCGTCATAGCTTACAGCAACCTCAAACCTCAAGTGATCCTCTTGCCTCAGCCTCCCAAGTGCTGTGACTACAGGTGCCTGCTACAACACCCAGCTATTTTTAGAGACGAGCTCTCACTCTTGCTCAGGCTGATCTCAAACTCCTGAGTTCAAGCAAACCACACGCCTCGGCCTCTCAGAGTGCTGGGATTACAAGTGTGAGCCACTGTACCTGGCCAAGAGATATGTCTTATATGTAGCTAACGAGACATGCTGACTGCTGTCAGCTCTATGTTTATGTAAAGACCGTCCTTTTCTTTTTACCAAAATGTTTCAGATTTGCTTTTTGCTTCACATCTTACCTGCTATTGATAAATCTGTTGATGAGTATCAAGGAGGTTATGGAACTCTGAGGAATTCAGTTCTCTACCTTTTAAGAAAATACAAGTAGCACTACTGTCTTTATCCTTTGGGACCCCCTCCTCTGTATTTTGAGAGGGGGGCTAATGTCTTCGGCATTCATTACTGAGGCTCTGCCGCCTGGCACACAGTTGGGTGGGGCTGTGCAACTAGCCCTGCCAGTGAGCTGTGAGTGGCAGTGACGGTGCCCCTCTGCAGCAGAGTAGTTAAGTGCTGGTGCAAGCCTCTCCATAATGACGGGCAGCATTAAGAGGGTGGCTGCTCTCTCCATCTGTGTCCCCAGCCGGCTCAAAATGAGCCCATAATGCAAGCAAGAAATAAACTTTTTTACTTATAAACCATCAATATTTTAGGGTTTCTTGTGACTACAACATAACCTAGACTATCCTGATACAGGGTTATCACCAAGTTCTAGATCTGTGCTAACTCATATGGTAGCTACTAGTCACAAGTGGCTACATTTAAATTAATTAAAAATTTAAAAACCTAGTTCCTCAGTGTGAGTCACATTTCAAATGCTCAGTAGTCACATGTGACCAGTAGCTAATCTATTGGAATCCCAGAGTAGAACTGTCTGTAAAGTCTTGTCAGCACTGATCTAGGTAGAGGAGGTGTGATAAAAAAATTCCAAATTTTACACTCTACACATTGCTCTTCAAATTACTGTGAAATTAAAACTTAAAAGCTTATGTGGGGCAGCACCTGTGGCTCAAAGGAGTAGGGCGTTGGCCCCATATGCCAGAGGTGGTAGGTTCAAACCCAGCCCCAGCCAAAAAAAAAAAAAAAGCTCGTGTGAAAGTCTGGAGAGTATGGTCAATAGTTTGATCAATTGTATTGGATCATGTAGATTCAGTCAATATGCAGGTAATCGTTATTTTCTAGTCATATGTAATTTTGGACTTTTTTTTTTTTTGAGACAGTCTCACTTTGTTGCCCTCAGTAGAATGTGGTGTCATAACTCACAGCAACTTCAAACTCTTGGGTTCTAGCCATTCTCTTGCCTCAGCCTCCCCAGTAGCAGGGACTACAGGTGCCTGCCACAACACCTGGCTGTTTTTAGAGATGAGGTCTCACTCTTGTTCGGGCTGGTCTCAAACCCATGAGCTCAGGCAATCCACCCACCTGGGTCTCCCAGAGTGCTGGGATTGCAGGCGTGAGCCACTGCATCTGGCCTAATTTTTGACTTTTTAACACCTTGCTGGCTCAGTTACCTGGTAACATGGACAGTTGCTAGGTAAAATTGCCAGTCAACAATGTGGAGGTACGACGTGTAATTCTCCCAAAGTATACTCCAAAGTAAACTATTCAGTGTTCTTTTTTACTTTTACTAGAACATTTAAAAAGAAATTGCACATAAGTATTCAAATACACAATTTATCTCTACTCATATAGAAGAACAACTGTTATTTTTGTTGGGAAAAGGGATTTTGCAGATGTGATTAAGTCAAAGACTTTGAGATGAGGCGATTGTACTGAATTATCTGGGTGGGCTCAGAGGTAATCACAAAGGTCCTGGAAAGTGAGAGGGAGATCGGAAGAGTTGGAAAGTCAGTCACATGACTACAGAAGAAAGGCAGACAGGTGCGCTGTTTCTGGCTTTGAAGATGGAGGAAGGGAGCCTCTTGAGGAAATGGATTCCTCCCTTGAGTTTAGTCTGGTGAGACCTGTGTCTGACTTCTGACCTAAAGAACTGTAAGGTAGGCTTGGCGCCTGTGGCTCAAGCGGCTAAGGCGCCAGCCACATACACCTAAGGTGGCAGGTTCGAATCCAGCC